AACTCTTAAAGGCATTGTGAAATCCTAGTGTATTTAAAAGATAAGAAATCCATGTCGTCATTTTTTTTATTAAAAGTTTAATAAAATAAAAGTAGTAAATCTTAGATGCAAAATTTGAGTAATGCAAATTTAAATTAGTTTTGGTAAGATAGAACACATCAGCACATGGAAGTTTCGCCTGATCACGTATGACGAATGATTCGCGATCATTTTATTCAAACATGTTTTGGAAAGCCTAATGACACGGCGCACCAATTTTGGTTCCACTTTATTGGGTGCAGATTGTACTTGAAAAAAATAATAAGACCCCGCCACACCAGGCGGAGTATAACAAAATCTTTATCCAAATGCTTTACTATAAAATGTATTTCAATAAGTCTATGGATCTGTGTCCAAAAAATGTATTTCTGGATTTAATTTACAATATTCATATAACTAATTGAGCATTGTTTTGTTACCCTCCATGTACTCAAAGCTTTTGTTTCAATGGATACCTGGAACGTTTAATATTTTTCCAAATTTTGCCATATTATTCTAAAAACATACATAATAATTTCCCAAGACTGAGTTTGCAAAATATATATAGTAATTAGTCGTTATTTCTATTTATATTTTTTCCTTACATTATACGAGTATATATATTTTTTATATAGATATCCTTGCAGTTTTCTTTGAATATTTTTAATGACAAACATAATAATATAGAGAATTATGAACGTTCATAGCAATATTATACGACAATACCTATCGTAAATCATAAAAGTATCTAGTATTGTCACTATTTCACACTGTTTGAATGTATGTCCTTATTGCTATTCGTAGGTGTAATTACCAGTACTACGAAGAATTCAAATATACTTGGGTAAAGTGTTACTTTTAATAATAGAGTGTAATGTGTATGCTTTGGATTCAGACGAAATTAAGTAGGTAAGCCACATTATAATGAAAATAACAGCGAATAACGGACTGCGAGACAAAAAATTATTTAAACTACGCTTCGTCCGTCCTCCGTCCGTCATTAAATTCTACTACAATGCAAAAGTAAAGCAAAGGTGTTTTAATCATTTAATTGTCATCTCATTTTAATGCGCTTAAAAAAAGTTATTTAAACACCACTGAGATTGACACTGCAAATATGCCTACCTACCAGTTCCGGATCTAGGCAGGAGGCAACCCGTGCTCCGGGCGGCAAATTCAAACTTGATAGATGAATACAGAACTCATCATTAACGTGTCTTTGACAACTTGACCACTGAGGCGACAAGAAAATTGTTTGTGTAGGTGTTTCATGTAGGTATTTGAAAATGCCACAAAAATTAACAGAAATATTTATTGGAAAAATTGTGTGTTAATATGTATATTGTAAAAATGTGGAGTGTGGGGAGGGCGGGGGGAATCTTAGGCTAAAATGCAGCCCATTTTTAAATTGGGGCTGCTACCTGATTGTAAGTAACATGACCGTAGATGAGAAATATGTACATACTAGCATAATGTGACGTGCTACTCGTGTCATCGTGTTAACGCTTCTGAGAACTACGGAAAGGAAATACCTACCTGCAGATATACCTGCCGTGGAGTCTAATCTATTAAATCATAAATACTGATTTCAGTCCAATCCGTTTTTCACAGTTCTTTTGAAACCTAATTAAGACTAAAACCACGTAAAACATTCTCAGTTATTTCATTGACCACCAAATTTGGAATGAATTAAACTATTCAAGAGTATACCCATAAGAGTGAAAAAGACAGCGCAGTTCCATGTCATTGGATCGGAATTTCTTTTTAGAGAAGCCGGCTCATGTTTGATGTAATTACTATTCGTAAAACAACTGGGTTACTTGTATATTACAACAGTTATATTAACGCATTAACTGGACAATGTAAATAAAAATATTAGACGGTACATGACACCTAATATTGTCGCTCCATAATTTTGCGAATGTGTCGCCATTAACCACCGCAGGTTAACGACCCTATAACCTGATAGTCATATTTGTCACATGTCATAAAGAAGTCCATACGGATGACCAAAGCAAAATATGACAACTGAAGAGGAAGACGCCGCGATTACTAAACTATACTTTACTCTATTGCGAAGAACACTGAACGGTAAATAAAAAAAATAGGCTAAGCTACGCCTTCGGTTTGTATTGGTCATTGTAGTGACCACAGATATATTTTTTATATATATATGTACTTCATGTGTTTTTCTATAACATACAGGTTAGTCGTAAAGGATATACCTATACCAGTTTTCAGAGTTTCTATCAGGTTATAGAAACTTATATAACGTAATTATTTCCACCAAACGTTTCCTGGTGAAAGTGGAAATATCAAAAATAATTTTCAACTTCACATACTAAACCGATTACCTAACCGCATAGATTGTTTAAAGGTAATATACAATATCTACTTTTAATTATATCGTCTATTTTGCAAATTTGGAAGAGTTGTTCACTTTCATGTATAGCCCTTAATACTATCCTTGTGTAATATGGGCCAATAAATTAAAATCAAGTTCCTAAATAAAAAATAATAAATATATATTTATGCGTGCAAAGAACAAGACTATAGAACGAACAGTGAATCAAAACTACTTTATATATTGTTTTAAATTTGACGCGGCATAAAAATATAATAAACTGTCATTCGCACCATGCTACGCAGTATAGTAAAAATAACGGGAATTTACGGGAAGATGAGTAAAGGTAGACGCATATGTCTGCCCATAAAAAAGATTTTATCTACTATCTACCCGCTGCTCTTAAGTTTACCCGTGATCATGGCGGTTGAAACACTGCCGAAATATCGGGAACTTAATATAAAAATAACGTGGTAAGATTTCGCGATTTTTACTAATTATACGTACAAATTTAGTTTCTTTGGTTCAATTTACTAAGATGGCACATTACGTTAAGTACGGTACAGCGATCGAATACAGAATATGTAATGTTTAATGTTAAATACTCATGTTATTTAATTTGATTCCGCAAAGCACCTCTAAATCAATATAACAAGCTATGACGTTACGTGATGTCAGAAAATTACGACAAATGTTAAAATAAAAAGAGCAAATAATAAAAAATACGTACAATTTTATGCTTATATTTCTCACATAAATTATTAAAGAATAATAAAAAATTACATTTTAACACTCATATTTACAATAAACCCTTAAATGCTTACAAAAAAATAAATAACAAAAAAATATAAAATATTTATCTATATACATAAATATAATTTGTAACTAGATACACATAATATAACTATTATTTATACAGCCAGATATAAGTATTCAGCTTATTCGTAATTGAAACATTACTGAACTTTTTGACACATAGCCTTCCTAACCGGACTTGAGTTCATCCACTTCTTATGATTATTAAAATTCAAATATTACACCTACATAGGTAATAGGCTCAAATACAAACCAAAGGTTTCCGAATATAGATTATAAAAAGAAACAAATAAGTCAATAAGGATCTCATATGTTCAAACTGCGTTATAAAAACTCTTTGTCTTATTTTATTAATATAATCTTTGTGATATTTTATTAATATAGTTACGTAACAAATGAATTCATGTTTTGGCGAAATGACTGATGACACGTCAGTTTAGTATACCTGCTCAAATTTATTGTACTATTTTCAGTTTCTCATAACTTCACTACTGTCAGGATTAGTGTGATCTTGATCGTAATCTCTTAAGACTCGCTTTGTAAAGTCTAATAGCTTGAATAATACTATTCTTATTAGAAGCAAAGTATCTAAAGTAATATGATTAGAAATCTCCCCTTTGCCCGCGAAGCGTCTACTCCGGGACAAGTAACCTCGGGTCTCTCGAGTGAGTTAGACTGGTCTTCAACGTTTTTTAAATTAAGATTCTTTGAACATGGGTGCCGTGTATGTTTAGTGGAGAATAGATGGGTTGGTCGATTGAAAATGGAATCTACCTAATTCTACACAATTATTAACAAACATGTAACTCTTATTTGCCGGTGTTAATTCTCGGAGATAAAATGCATGTAAATATTACGGCCATGTTAATTGAACATTGTTTTGTGACGTACAGATTAATATTGACATTTAATGGTGTCATTGTTTGTCAGTAGTATAAGGAAATTGTAATACGACTTCATTTCATATGTTTAGGAATTTCCGTATACCCAGGTACTAGATCATGCTTAATACAATATATTAATCGTATATGCTGCTAATCGCCTGGAAAGGGGAGGAAAATGATTTTTTTTTGTGGATGATAATGGAATGATGAACCCGCCTACGCTAACGGTTTAATCAAAGTTCATATGGGACTAACACGATAGATTGAAAAAAAAAACGAAATCTGTTCTCCGCAAAACAGAGAACACTAATGGGATTAGATAGCCATCACAAAGTAGTAATAATGTAGGCATATTGTGGTGTTACCAAAAGTAAAATAGGGTAATACTTAAAATCTAATGTGTAAAATATTTAGTTGGATTCCTAGAGATTAAGACATATCTAATTAGCTCCGTAAAGTCCCTAATGAATTGTAAAACTGTTATTTACATAACTTAAATTAATCACTTTAAATATTTATTTCGCACTGTGCTGACAAAACAAACATTTATTTAAAACTAGTTTCAGTTTTTGTAGAACAAAATAATTTAAGTGTATTATTTGTCTTATAGTTAAACGTGTCAAATTGATTTGTGTTACTTGCGTATTGTGTATTCGTAATGGTGTAATTATCTATGGGCGGTTTTATAATATACCGTATGATACTACTGTCGCCGTCCCTAGTTCTACGGCAATGGTAAACAAACGGTCAGTGGTTGAACGTAACCGCCATCTTGCATTGCATAGGTCAGGCACAGCGTGATCATACCCATCAACTTTATAAACATGTAAACTGCATAACCCTCACTGTAAATAAATTGTCGATGTCGTAAAGAACAATAACCTATTTCTCTAAACTTCTAAACTTTCCAAGATCCCAAGCAAAGTTTAACATTTCCAATAGCCTTGAGACACATAAGAATCATATGTTGGCAAAACGCCTATTGCACTATATCCAATACACAGTAAAGGTACTTTAAAAATGTATCTACAGTCGTTTTGTGTGTATTGCATACTACAAATAATAATTTGTTATATTTGCAGTGATCGTTTGAGGACAATTCAACAAGTCTTTGAACTGACATTGTAACATATAAATATATGTGTACAGCACACATTTATTCCATATGAGACATGTACACAAATTATAATAAAAAGTTACCTCATTAATGTATGCAGGTACTTTTTTATTCGATAGTTTACATTACTTTACACCATAAAAGAGTCATTTACAATATTTTCTGAAATAGCGAATTCAAATGACCAATTTAAATACCGCCAATTTAACGCGTTAGGTGTGACGTAATATTCTACGACAAAATAAAAACAAATGAAGAGGTGATAACTCAGATTAAATCAATATTATACTTTGATGCAATATTACTATTATTTTCAACTACTATAATCCATTATGGATAAACCTTCATGAAACAATTATTACGTTTTAGGTTATACTATTTTTATATTAAAATTAATACAGTAAAGATGGGCAAAATAAAGTAAACATTATAACTAACACAAATTACCTTAAAGCTTTTACTCGTTTTATTTCAATAGACTTGAAGTCAGGATTTGTAAAACTAGTGAAGAAAACTTGCGGTATGAAGACCGACATATCAGTACACTAGTTTTATATATTTTCCAGTATTATAAATTATTCAATTTTATTATGATTTTTCACTTCTCTATTAATTTGCTATCTATCAATTAAAATATATAAGAATTTCATTCTATTTTGGTTTCAGTACATTTCACGGCCACATGAATTCATTGTATATGTAGACGACAGATAAATATATTTTTTTCTATTGAAACCATTAAGAAAAATAATATACTTAGTTATTATTTTAAACAGGAACATTTATATAAAATAATGGTCTTGCTAGATCTTTGTGGTAATTATGATATAAGGTTTGCAGAGTTTGTGTAACAACAATATTAAACTTGTTAAGTAAAATTTCCGTATTCTACACACAGACCACATTTGAAATAATCTCTAATATGCAAAATGATAATTAAAAAAAATACAAATGACACATAGCAGGACATTGCGATTCTTGGCAAGAATCACTTAGTTAGCACATAATTAATGATGGTCAAGTTATATCACGTAAAATATTACTAACACCATTATTACAATAGAAATGATAACATTTCTATCAATATATTTGTCTAGTATAAAATAGGTTAATATTGGCAATAATAAAATGAGAGGTAAGTATAAATATTGATTTATCCACACAATATGTCCAAATTTAGGCTATAATACTATAAACTTTATAATATTAAACTATTAAAGGAATAAGCACAATTTGAACTCGATTATGTAAGTACACAGAACAAAAATAACTAGAAGTAGTATGGGTCATCTCGTTGACCTTGTTATGCAGTATATATTGAAACGTCAACTGTATAGTCTGTACTATACATTATAAACTGTATAGTGGGTACTATTTACCTGAAATGGAATATAAATTAATCTTTGTTTTAGAAGCCAAAGACAGCCCAGTAATGAATCACTGGAATAACTAATAAATCTAAAAGTATAGCCTTATATTCATTGCACCTTTTATCTAGTTTATTGAGGAATATAAGAAATGTAAAGAATATTAAAAGAAGTAATAAAAGATCTACGCAATATACTTTTAATAATCCTGGTACATAAATTACAATAAATAGTAGTAAACTCTTCTGCTGTTTTTTTCTGTTCTGTGTGTTTATATATTTTGATTTAAAATTATCCTACATATATATGAATTAAAAATCTTATGTACAGTCGACACTGCAGTCTCAATTTAACCTAGCTATAAATTAGGCAGGCAAGCCTGCTCAAAAAGACACAAAACTTTGTGTATGAGCTCATATTGTTCCGAATTTTGCACCATGCCTCCACGATTCAGTCGCATGTTACACACAATGCCGAGTACATCGACTTTATGTTCATTTGTTAATTGCTTTATACCATTGAGTATGGCAATGAGGCAGCCAGTACGACCTATACCGGCTGAGCAGTGCACAATAGTCGGTGGCGAGTGGTGTTCAGCGGAGAAGTCTAACGGTGTCGTCACTGTCACTGTCACTTCACATGGCACAACTTGGTTCTCTAACGGTGGAAACACAAACTTTGAATCTGGTTTCGGGCTATCATTACACTTACACACGTCTTCACTTTGTATATTTGTTTCGTTGAAGTCATAGTTTGAGTCCTTCAACACATCCAAACTTAAGTTGAGGAGGGCATTAACATCTTTAGGGCATTTGTGATCAGCCCAATTGTGAAACCAGTAGTGATATACTATTACACTGTCATAGGGCTTTATTTTGTGGTATTTAACATCCAATTTTCGAATGGTATATCCAGATTTCTTAACCATACCACAGTTTTTAATGGTGAAACTGCTTAATTCTTCGTCTTCTTCAGTTTCCTCAGGACATTCAAACGTGCTTTCTTCATTTAATTCTAATGGGAAGTACTTTTCGCATTTTTGTCTACTGTTTTCGATAAAGTTCGTAAGCATGACAATTTTTTGTACACCCAATGCTGCAGATGGACCAGGGTCAGGGGGCTCAGGGTTGAAAGATGTAGAGTTTTGGTAGACCATGAGCCAGAAATCGAAGATAGTGTTCTGCAATGGTCCTTGCGTCGCTATATAGCTGTTCTTGGAATATTCATGCCCCTGTAAATAAACATAAAAATAATTAAATCTTTATTTATAATGACAAATACACTTGTTATGCATGTATGTTATCGCATGCTCTTTTATGACACTATAATTAAAAGTACATATAGAACTATAAAAATACATAAGCTTTAAAATAAAAAAGTGCAATACCAACCTTAATAAAATTGGCATTGATGTAACCCTCGCTGACTTCATCCTTTAATATGAATCTTGAATGCTCATTTGGTAAAATAGTCTTATATCTATTCTTTGGATGGGACCCAGACACTATCGGCTTTTCTTGGAAGTTGGTTGGCATATCCCAAAACTCCTGATGAAGATTCCTCAATAGACTTTTCTGATATTCAGAGCATGGTTGAGTGGTCACTGGTTCTGGGATAACCATTTGCGGATTGTCCTTTGTTATATCCTCAACTCGACCTGAACAACAATGCTGGCCTTCTGTAGAACTATGGCATTTTACTTTGGAGTACCCATTTTGGAATACATCATTCAAGTCTCGTAACTGCTGTCTAGACAATACACTTGATGCATTTTGAAGATGTTGCATATTTGCTAAGTATAATCTAAAGTCTTCTGATGTACTTTGAGGACTTAGAGGCTTGGTAGTGATATTTCGAACGAAACCTGGTTGGTATGTCGTTTCATCTTGACGCCCAAATGCGTAAATTATCTCATTTTCTTGGTCACCACAAACATAAGTTAAATTTTGAGGATAATCTTGCTCTGAGTAAGAAGCAGACCAAAGATTATCATGAGACCCAAACCCAATTGATTTGTCTGTGGAACATATTCTTCTATTTCTATAAGATTTAGGTATTAAATTTTCAGTACTCAACGACTTTCTATGTTTATCTCTATGTGGCAGATCTTTTAAATTATCTTTGATTAAATTCTCGTCTATGTCCAAGTCTCTTGGCTCCTGGGGTTGTATGTTTAAAGTAAGTGAAGTGTTCGAACTTCGCCTCTCTAGAATACCTTTTCTATGTTCTCCTGTAGTGTTATCTATACTATGATTACTACTAAAGCGACTAAGATTGCACGTAGACCCATTCAGATTGTAATTTGAGATGCTCAGTCCTCTATTTACAGACAGTTGGGGATTCGAAGTGTTAATATTTAAAGTGAGTGAAGTGTTTGAACTTCTACGTTCCAGAAGACCTTTTTTCATTCCCGGTTTAGCATCTTTATTTAAAGAACTATTACTAGAATGTCTACTAAGGTTTGAAGAATGTATATTTAATGTAAGGCTGTTATTTGAGCCCCGTCGTTGTAATAAGCAGTTCTTTGATACATCCCCAGATAAACTAGTGTTTGAAGAGCACAACATATATCTTGTTGATGGAGTTAAATGTTCAGTATTTATTAAAGATGTATTAGAATCTCTTCTTTCCAATGACAATTTTTTATGGCGACAGTCGTTGAGGCTAAAATTAGATATGCTTGTTCTGACTGTCGCCAAATTATGGGTAGATGCTCCTGCACTGCTTAAAGAACAATTTGAGCTTTGTAGACTATGTGTACTGAGCATTAAACTTTGATTTGAATTTCTCCTGTGTAGTTTTTTGACAAGCTTCTCGTCTTCTGCACTGGGTTCAAAATCGTCGGAGGGCACCCCTTCCGGCAATGTTTTAAGATTAGTACTAGACACACTTAAGTTCTGTTTATAATTTAACAAATTTGACCCTAAAGTTTGTCCCGATTCCATGTGGTATCGGCTGTCGGCACCTGATATGTTTATTTCTGGCTTTTCGACGAAATCGGTCATATTCTCGTCAAAAGATCCCATGGTACGGGATCCCATACGAGAAGTGCCTGGTTGATAGAGCATGAGATTCGCGTGGTTTTCTCTAAGAAAAATACCACTGTCCTGTCCTTTCATAAACAAACGACGTTGTTCAGCTCCGGACAATATTGAATTATATCCAATTTTGGCTCCAACAAAATTGGAGTTTACACTTTTTTGTGCCAAAATGCGTTTCAACTGACGTTTTGGTGTATTAGGAACTGACACAGAATTTTGGGGTACTTCCAAGGTCTTCTTTTGTGGTAATGATAAATTTACAGTCTCAGAAGAATCTAATGATGTTGCTTTGACTTTCAAAGTGGGTGTTTTTACTTTCTTTTCTTCAGCGTCTGTATACAACTTTTCAAACTCTAACAATTCTTTCTCCAAGTCGCTGTCTCGTTTCGTTAAATCGATGGTAAGGTTTCGTAAATTCTTTCCTTTTCGTTTCGTTTGAGCCTCTGCTGATATCGTTGTTCCTTCTTCGGTCGTGACAGTGATTTCGAATTCCTTAGGAGAAAATCTGGGCATATCCAAAAAAGACTGTGTGTCAGAACTCTGCCTTAGACATTTCTTTTGTATGAGATCTGGTGATTTAATGTCTTCTTCCTCTACTTCTTCGGGTGATTTATCCTTTCTTTCATCTTCAAATTTAAAAACTGGTCTTTCAGTCATAGGCGATTTGGGATGCCTCTCCATACTTTCACAAGAGGTACTCACATCTTGATTCTTATAAGCTTCATTCATTTGTTCTTTCATCTGCTTCGCTATGGGTAGACCTAAGTTCTGTTCTATAATTTTAGCGTTATCTGAATCTAATGATATCGATTTGAGTCTTTGTCGTCTAGCTTGAGCTGTATTTGAATGTGTTGGCGTTAATTCGTATTTTTCGTCTGCCTTTTCGTCGACATGCAAAGAATCTACTTTGGCACAGCAATCAACTACGTCTGTTTCTATAATTTCGTTTTTAATTTCAGTTTCTTTGTTATCGTCATATTTAGTAATATTTAATTCTATATTTTTATAATTCGTGTCACAACTATTGTGTCTTCTATATTTTTTGGCTTCTTTGTCAGCAGGTGGTGTAAACCTTTCCCTCTCTATTGAATTTCTACCGCCATACTTTTTTGGTCGGGGCGACATTCTTGTGGCTCCTTCTTCCATGTTAACTTGATCAAATGTAAAGTAATTTTCCTTGTTATAGCTATGAATTTTAGGGCTCGGTCTTGCGCTAAGAACTCTTGGAGAACTAGGTTTCTCTGTTAATCCATTACTTCTATTTAAATTATTAGCCAGCGCTCTTGGTGACTGTGGCCCATCGGAATACTCTCGGGGTGTTTCTGGAAAAAATTTTGGTGACCTTACACTATCATAATATACAGATTTAGGAGAAGGTTCGGCAAAAAACGCGGGCGAAACTGTTTCTGGTGGCGTAAAAAACCGTGGAGAACTCAAACAGTCGGCTAAAATTTTAGGTGAGAAATCAAATTTAGATCCGGTAGGTTTTTCTTTTGCAGAACTGCATTCGAGTATTCTTGGCGAATTTTGCATTTCTAGTCTCTCTTGGTGGCCTTCTAAATGTGGACTCTCTGACACACTGCACATATTCAGCCTAGTACTGACTGACCGAAATCTTCTAAGGTTACTTGGCGATTCTTGACCTCTCTCGCTTTCTTTGGGTGACGTCATTGCTTCTTCAGATTCACTTTCCGTATTCAAATTCTCACTTGCAACTTTCTTAACAGCTTCTGGATCAAATCCAAACACTTCAGACTTATCAGATTTGGCGCTACCTAAAAACGGAGATTTGTCGTCTTTTTCTAAAGAAGGCGATCTAGTCGCGCTAAATTTTTTTGCACGTGTTTCTCTAGAAAGATCCGCACCTAGTTCTGAATCTACAATTTGTGCTAATGGTCGCGGTATAGTTGCTGAATATTTGCAGTCTAGTGGTCGTCGAGGCAACCACTGCTCAGGTAGCGGAAGCTTTGGTATTCCTCGAAACTCAGAAAGACCAGGTTCTGAAGTAGATGGACCACTTTGTGGCACTGTGTTTTGGACAATTAGTATTTGAGGAGGATCAGCTTCGCGGTCTGGGTCGGCTGGAGCACCGATAAGAGTGGCTTTAGCAGGAAGGGTTGTAGAGATGGGAGGTGCGGAGTGTGCTGCAGGCGGGGCGGGGATGCGCCAGGGGGGCGGCGGTAAGCGAGCACGAGGCGGCGTCGGCGACGAGAACCGGACTACATGCACCTGAAAACAAAAAGACTTTAATTTATTATCCATACTCGTCTACAAATTTCCTTCTAAATTATTATCTCATAAAACTGTCGCGTTATTTATAAAAGACCGTAGTTAGCTTTATATCAACATTTATCTTAAACTTATCTGGCCGTTTTGACCAGAGGTCTTTGACAAGTGGCAAATGAATCTGTCGATAGTGATAAATTATATTAGTTTGTTGTAAGAGGTCAAGCGAATCTTTAATAGTACAATACAAAACAAAGTACCTGTTTTAGTCTATCTGTCTCTCCATGTATTTCTCTATCATTTAGAATTTTAGAGACTGATTTAAGGAAAGTTTATATTACATACTACCTGAATAAGATTCAACTTGAGGTCAATTTTGCTACACGAGCATACGACCCATTTGATGGTAAACGGTTACTGTGGCTTATGGACGTATAAAACACGCTGACGTCGACGACAATTTAGGCACAAAACTAAAATTATTACTACCTGGTGCGGCGCGGTGAGTTGCGCGCCCTTGCGGCGGCGGCGGCAGCGCGCGGCCAGCACCAGCAGCAGGAGCGCGAGCGCCGCCAGCGCGCCGCACACCAGCCCCGCCTTTGCGGCACACATGCCACGGAACTCACATCTGTTAAACATATCGCATATTTCTATATATTCATAAAATACCCTGCACAAATATTTTTTTCATGTAATTGCTGACGGCTCATCCTAATGGTAATCCGTAATCGGTAATCGTCGCCTATACACGAACACCACTATGAATATCACGTTATCATTGGACACTAGCTAATATACTACACATATATTGCTATTCCAGAAGACTAAAATGTCATGCCTATTATCCTGTAATTTCACTGATTAATTTGCATCCTACAAACGAAACACGAAAAACATAAGCAAGATGCTTGTCGGTTCAATAGATGAGACTGAGTTACCCCACAGACAACTCCTTACAGTTTACCTCTGGGGGAACCAAAGCTGTTCTTTTTAAGATGTTATGCTCATTTTGCGTTTATAAAACAAATAATTGTGAACTATAGTGGCGTGGCAACTAGTTTGCTAGCTTAGATGTTTGGATCACTATATTATCATGTTCCATGGGAATCACGCACGAGGAATGAGTAACGCATTCCTCTCGTCTTGAATTCTTGATGACTCTTGTAAGAATTGCACATTTGTTAAGAGCTTAAGACATGTGTTTATTTCTACAAAATTTGGTTTTATTTAACTGGCTTCTTTTAAATCGACTTGCGTAACATCAGGATGGCATTAGATAGATGTCTCTTTATCACAATGATGAAATAAAATACAAACTTTCTCAGAGAAGACATTTATGAATACTTGGTTATTACTATTTATTTATAATTAAAACCAATGCCTATGAATGGTGTTGTACTGAATCCGGCTAAATTAGTCCAATTTAATCAAACAGCAGAAACAAGAAAACAATGTTTTGTCGCAGGTATGACTCACAAAGCAGCAAATTATTATAAATGTGGACTGATAATGTATCTGTGCAGTTGAAAATTTGTTTAGCGTCAGTAAGAAAATGTAATCTTATCAGCCAACAAAACATTTTATTCAGACAGAAATTGCGGTTGTTTATACAAATATAATTTATATTTTAATTAACTTTTAGATAAAATATCTGCGCCCGAAAGGTTAACTAATAAATATCCTTTTTAATATGTTTATTTGATGGTCAAACATATGACTATTTTACCAAATTCTTAATATATTTACCGTTGTTTATTGTTTAAATAAGTAATGAAGGTACTTATGAAGAATTACTTCATAGTTCAAATATGTTATTAGAACAAAAAGTATTGTTTTAAGTAATAGTGCCATAAGTACTGCGTTATTAAAATTGTGTGTAAATGTTGTATATATATAACAGAAATATATATAATTCAATAAATTCATTCACAGAATTTCAATACTTAGTTTGATAATAATCTAACAAGACGTATGCAGCACTATTCACAAGGTCGAATGAGGCATATTGCCTATCGCTACCTAAAATAACAAACAAGCTGGCGTTCCACGTGATGGTGAAATATGGAACCGCAAATTACACATTTTAGTATTATGAATTTATGACACTTTTGGATCCCTTCGATTCATAAATACGTAAGTAACTGTTGTATCAGTTTTTATGTATGTTTAATATGTACTTTCTAATATCTAATAATGAATACCCTTTAGACTGAAATATCACATAATATGAAGATTACTTGAATGTAGAAATATGTAAAATACTGCTAGTCTACTGCAGTAAAAATCTGCATTAAAATAAAATTTATAATATCTAATAATATGTATTCATTGTGTTCATACTGTGTCGTCATTATTAACAAGTGAAGTATACATCAAAAATATAATCTTAGTCATTTAGTTGTGTTGAACAACTATCTTGAAAATATATGACTTAGCATTAGTCACATGGTAATTTAGGGTTGCGAGGTACATATTAGGGGGAATATCCATTACCCATGTAATATAATCTGAGGGTTGACAACGTATAACAATCGTTGATATTAAATTTTTAATGTGACAGTTTTCAAATATACATTGTTATACACTAATGAAGAAGGCTAACTAGCTCGAGGTTTGTTTAATATAAAATGGAAATCGTCACATAATCTTGAAAAACATAATGAACTTCATGAAGAAAATATTGTGCCAACCTTATTTCATCCGTGTCATCAGTTTACATACCGTGCATGACGTCTCCGGAAGTTAGTAATTAATTGAAGAACACGTCCGTTCATCTAGCCATGTCTTCATAAACGTCAACACTCAAGATTAATTTCAACACTGCCACTACCTACCTCTTCGTTTTACCCTGGTAGACCTTGTATGAAGTCCTCTGTATACCTGTATCTCACGTAAATACGTGATATAGAGATTGAAGATGTAAGGTGCTATTACGGGATAAGAGGCATAACATCTTAATCCTCTGGAATAGGTTACCAATTTTTATTGGGCTATCAGCTTACTAGCCATTTCAGAGGCATACTAAATAAAAGAGAACAGTCAGGGCCTTTGAAGTATCGAAAAAATTGTATAGTTAGTTATGTTACTTTATAGCAGAAACGAGCTTGCGTCTCACCTGATGTAAGTGATTACCGCCGCCCGTACGCACACGCAACACCAGAGGAATTGCAAGTGGGTTGCCAGCCCTTCCTGGTGTAGTGTATGGATACAATAAAACTTGTTTCGGGATTTAACCATTAGTTTCGGCATGTCTTGGCGTACCTTAATTGCCTTAAGGCACCTAATGTGCCATTAACTTTGATTTATTAAAAACAATATTTGCACTCAAAGCCAAAGACATATATATATAATAATTTACAGTAGAAAAATTAAGAATAGATAGATGAGACCTCACAGGTTAGCTACACTATTATTACAAAATAATAAGCCCTGATTGATTAGTCATCACCACTAAGCAGAAAGTACTGAAGTTATTAAAAAGAAATAGATAGCTATTTAGTATGTGTATTCATTGTATAGAGAAGTTATCAAGAAATGTCGTTTTTCACATATTTCACAATATTTTCTTGATAAAAAAAATTCAAATTAAACTTTTAGCTACCATCTATAGATGATGTATCTACTCTTGAAAAGTGATTTTTAGCTTAAGATGTGATGTTCTGTTAGAACTCCCAGTCACTATCCTATACTACTTCATATAATTTATAGTAATGTTATAAGAGGTATTTGTGTGGTTGCAGAAAATAATCACATGCTCAATATTTTTATTTTGCTTGTTGCTTATATTAAGTTTATTTGAATAAAGATTATTTCTATGTCTATATATTGCATTCCACAATGTAAATATCTGTGAACCAATTTTGAAAATTGTTATAGAAATAACAATAGAAAACCATATTATTTGTGTGTGTTTCATGGGCTCAAATCACACTATGACCTATAGCAGACCTACAATGAAAAATGTAGAAATAAATGATAGAAAATATGATGCAAAGGAAGTTGCGTTGCTAGTTTGTTATGTATATGAATATATATATATATACTGTATCAATAAATATATAAGGTGATTGCTGTTATTATGAGCAGAAATATAAATTAAACTAGCAATTTCCCACTACTTTCCACTGCTTTATTTTTAGATAAAGACAACCCTCATGGTAATAAAGATAAAAAACACTTATACAAACATACTTTCACGTTGGTACTCTCACTAATGGTACAATACTACAGACTTTAGAAAAATAATTAATTACGTTCATTATTGCATAAAATATATTAGCTGTAGTTAAAACCAAACAATTACAATGTATACTTTTGTCCTTCTAGGGGAATTTTCGGTGTTAGTTTATTTTATAAGTACAAATAAAGTTAAAAACGAAAATTAATGAAAAAAAATATTGCAACAAATATTTACTTATTGGTTAATTAAACATTAATTTTTTTTTATTAAAAAGTGAAGTCAACACATGAAAAGAAAAATAGTAATGGAAGTAGGCACAGAAACAGCAGTTGAGGCAGTTAAAAAATATGATCCACAGAACATATGTTTAGATACTTTTCAAACATTGAATTATTTGATTAAATGGGCATACAAGTTGTTATTTATACAATGTTGATGCCCAATTAATCAAATATATCATTATGTAGTGAAAAAATACATCTTCTATGTGATAATACATTATCTGTGGTACCAAATACATAATATTAGTATTTTCATAAATTTATTTCTTTCATAAATTCTTCTAAAAGAAAAATGTATCTTAAAAATACTAACATAAAAAGTGTAGGATTTTAGTGAAGAACAGAAATCAGCTGGTTTTTTTTATTCGGTAGGTATAACTTATACCCAAGGTTAAAGTCCTTAACTGAAGATTAGGCTGTATGGTCTTGTACCATTGGCTAAAAAAATATACCCCTACTATTATTTAAACTTTTCATTTAATGTTTATAGCTAAACAGTACTCTGTACTTAACAATGTATTCATACATATTCAAAGGAATTTTAACCCTCAGGGCACAATATTTTAAATTAAACATATTATTGGAAAACAGTTACATTGTGTTTGTCTTTTAGTAAGCCTAGACTTGTAGTAACTTGGTTGATTATTATTAAATGAATTGTTGGTATATTTGAAGTTTCTACTCTAGTACGGAGAGAACTGTGCCTTGCAATTAGATGTTAATGTTAATTATTATTTAACGTAAGAAATAAATTAGGACTAAATTTTTATTCACTATTTAAGAAGTTTTAGGATGGAATTACAAAATCGATACATATGTGACTTCTAGTAACATCATTTTTTTAGTATTTAGAGTGCCTAATCATTGCTATAAATTACAAGTTAAGACATATAAATGGTTAATACGTACTGTTCATTTAAAAAACGTCGACGAAGGTCTTAATGTTTGAACATCCAATGTGTAGGTGCTGTTTTAATGGAAATTCACAGTACTCGACACAAACACACAATTCAGTTAACGTCACTGACACTGAATCAACAATTTTGGAAATGTTTTCGAATAATAACAGGACGTTTTCGTCCAAAGCAATCAACCCATAGGATTTGACGTTCACGGATCGGCCATTTTTATTTCAGGACAACAAAAGGGGTGAATGTTGCCATTTAACTAAAAGTTATTTCCCAGTTTAAATCAGCAAAAAAAAACAATTTAATTTTACATTTTTAATTTTTTGAAACATTTTTTTATTTAAACTATCACGTATGTACTATTTATATAAAGATAACTATACATATCTTATAACGAACTTTAAAACAAATTATAACATTTTACAAATGGGGAAATTATCTAACGTTTAGTTCGTCATGAACAAAATCGCCCACTTTTCGCATGATGATATTACGAGTGACGCAATGACTAATAAATAAAAATAGACTTCATGATACTCCGCTACATTGGAGGGAGTAATGTCGCGGGTCTGCCTCAACCGGCTACTTATTGCCGTTCAACGTGGTAGAGCCATCATTCAACCTACCAGAGCATGCGCGTTGTGCCGTTTGTAAATTGGGGCACTGGAACAGCGGCCCTGCCACTGCTACCTTGCTGCTAGGTCATCGATGCACATAATGTATATATAGTAACGTTACTATCTAGGTCGCAGGTTTTTGATCCAAATTTCATTGTGAGAGTAGGTATATTGTATTTACATGAATGAATGATATAAAGAAAGGTTTATTGAAATATATAGATACCTTATCAACCATTTATCTGCCTACTTAGGTATATAGGTAGAAAGAATATAAAGTTTATCAAAACGATATTTCGGAACAGGAAGTTAGCATTTGTATCTATCACTAGATGACCAATACAATTAGTTTTAAATTAACCAATACTGATGATTCTTGTATAGAAAGAAGTATAGTATTATTCATTTGTAGTTTCGTTTTTTAAAAAGATGTCATTAGCACTGTCTAAATAGGTGTATTAATTGTTTTATAATGACGTAATAAAATCTTTTATTCTAATTTTCCTCGTAAAACCTTTCTCCTCTTGCCCTTATTATCGCGTATATTTACCATGTCCCTCAAAGGTAATGAGTTCGAATCTGGTGAACACCAGACTATGTCAATTTGTATTTCTAACTGACTCTCCGTTGATGTAAACAACAATTTTAATCCAAATTAATAGACCAATTAGTAACCGGGGTAGGTTATTAGGTAGGATTCGAACATGCCCACCAAATATGAAGTTAAGAGTTACATTGACCGAGGCGCAGTTGACAATGCTTCTGACTATTTTTATTACTGTTTGGCTATAATTACGTATTCTGAAGCGCGTTATTGAAATAATTGATTTTTAACTATATTAAAAAAAATCCATACAGTAATAGAATACCTTTAATATAGACGCAAAAGTATTTCCTTCATAAAACTAAATGGATGAATACATCTTAATGAAATTTGATGTGAAGATAGATTATGTCACGAAGACGCACATAGGCTACGCTGCCTATCTTTTATCTCAATAAATAGACGAAGCCGCTGGTTACAGTTAGTATAGTCACCTAATTAATTGCACAATGTCGTCACATTGTGCAATTAATTAGGTGCATACATCCTGGAAACATTATAATTGCAAAAGTTTGTGTGAATATTGATGTTTATTACTTTCCCGTGAAACTTACTGTATCTATAGATTATAATGAAATTTGTTACACAGAATATTTCATAGATTATTAGTATGTAAGTATTAGTTGTTACTCGTGACGTCATTTGATTTTGAGACAAAGGAACCTATTTACGTCCTCATGATATAATGTATATATTCGTCTTGCATTTCGATCTGTTCAAGTCTTATTGAGTCGTGAAAAGGTAACGAACAGATAGACATCTTTTCGTATTACTATGTAACTTTATCTAATCTGTGATAGGTACCTATTACCAGCTACTTTAACTGCTTTTATTTGAGACTACCATCAAATATGCTCGCATGGAAATTTAGTTTTATTTTTATTACTTTTATCCTAAAATAAAAATAGCATAAGTTGCTCCTTCGAGAACATTAGCTATCTGCGAGTGAGTCCCGTCAAAAGAGATCCAGCCGTTTCAGAGATTAGCAAGAAGAAACGGAGACAATCATACATTTTAAATATTTTTTTACGTAAGAATCGTTTCTTTTCAAACTCGTTTAATGGAAAGCTATTAGTAGATATTAAATTATTGTAAAAGTAATTGTAGGGGTTTTGTTTCTGTTTTCTATAGATCTTGGACGGCTGAATAAAATTTTCTTAAATTAGAAAACAATACATTATCCGGTAATAGTATGGAAGTATGAATAAAGATAATAAAATAAAAAACCACGAAGCATAAAAATTGTTATATAATTTAAAACATATTTTAGAATACAAAAATAACAATTACGTTATAATTAACATACTTAAATCTAGACAATATGTAATACATATACATTGCTTATTACTGAATTCACCTTCTATTTTTAATTACTAGTTAATTTTCCGTTTTTATACTTACATATAGCGCTTAAACTACTTTTACCTACTTTATTTATTATACGATATCACATTGTGACTTAGTATGATTGACAAACCTTACCAATAACATTAATTGATAGGCCTATTGTACCACAATACAAGTGTGTTCGACGTTTTAAATGATTTTAAACGATGTTTTAAATGTTGATTTACAATACGGAGTATTTGAATTTGTTAGGCTTATTTTTATACGAATAAATTAATAACATTAGGGACACAAAATCCCATGATTATCGTAATCATATAATACTATATAAGTATATACCATGTACATAGATACTTTGGTAGCAACCTATAAAAAGATCAAAATATACTATTTTTTTGTTCGCCATATGCACTCTTATCTCAATAAAAAGACAGCATCATTGTTTATAAAATACGCTACATAAAGAAAACAAATTATTCAGTTATTAAAGATTATTGCGGCGTAGGTGTCCGCGTTAGTCATTTGTATTGATAAGAATTATGAGACAATCCACGCACGTAAGTAATTTCATGTAGTAAATAGAATATTATAATTACATGCATCTTTTTTTGCTTTCGTGTTTTGTATAGAACCCGTGGCAAATTAATAGCCTGCTTCACTATGTAATTCGTAAGTTCGTAGTATCCAAATAATGAATTTATAGAAAAAACGAAAACTTCAATTATGGAACTATTTTATTACGATCTCACTTATGTGTCTGTCATATAATGCACGAGCCATGAATAAAATCGTGAACATCTTCGATATCGAAGGCAATTATTAAAACACCCCAACGATTGTTTCTTATTTATTTTTGGTTGATATACCCCACCCTCTTTAGGCATCCCAGGCTGAACGTGGTAATACGTTACGGTACATGTTAACGAGACAAAGCGGTCTAATTACAAAATATTATATTGATGGTTACACAAAATAAAAAAATAACATCAATTCATGGAAGACATATTTCATCTATCATTAAAACAACATTAATTATTTTCATAATGATAATATAAATATAATAAAATTTTCATTAGTATAAGAAATAAAAAAGTGATGAGTAATTAAATTAATAAATAATAATTCAGAAACAGATTATATCATAATATTCATAGGAGATAAGTTTCTATATAATATTATTCAACAACTATATAGAAATAGTAAAAACTGTGTTGCCTAATAAAAATAAACAAAAAAAAACTTGTAATTTCAATGTAAATACAGTTAGTACTTTTCTTTTTCGTAATGTAAATTATAATTACGTATAATAAAATTTTAGTATATACAACAGAAAATTTAATTACAAAACGAAAACAGTGTAATTAATAACATCAAGCGATAACGTTGTTTTAAAGATTTCAGTCAATGTCAGTAAGATCCTCCCATTTAATAATTTTCTATATATTCACCCACAATGATGTATATAGTTACTATGTAGGGAACAGAGAACCGTAGATGAAGCTGCCACATCAATCGTTACATACATTTTAATAATTCGTGTCAAGCATAATGTGATAGATAGTCCGATTTTTCACAGGAAGTTTTAATACTTATGTTTTAAAGTTTCCTAAACTTTTTTAATATCTAAATAATATAATAATACAAAAAATATTAACAAATTATTACGTAGCGTGGTCAATAAAATACATAATAAACTACTTAAAATAATTTACATAACACTACATTGTTGAATCTAAAAAAAATAAAAAACATACATTACTTGAAATATAACTAAATAATTACAACCATAATATTAGATTTCATTTGTCCACTAATAAAAGAGCACACCAAAAAGTTACGAGTGATGTATCACATTATCATCTTAATGTAATCTTGTTGTCGTATCACTATAAACGTATATGTTTCTTTTAATTTACGTTCATTTACAAAATAATGTTATTTGCACAAAGCGGATCTTTAATAGCAAGCGTACACCAACATTTAGCATTGTATAAGTTTGTATATTATTTTTGTACTTGCATTCGCATTGCATTATAAACAATGATATTATTTATAAATAACATTGAATTACCTTTATTTTACTTATTAAATTAGTATTGAGCAGTCGTGTCACATCATATAAATACTATAGAATACTACGCCTCTCATTAATATTTGGAATGTACGACCGGCGTATCTTGTGATAACAAATACACTAATTTTATAAGTTAAATTTATTTAAATAGTAGAAATTATTATTATTATATAAAAAGGCAAGAGCTCTAAGATACATGAAAGCGGCACAAAACAAGCCAAAGAGTATATTAAAATTTACAAAATTAATACAATTTGGAAATTATTAGAGTTTATATTTACAGAGTGTTTCATATTATTTAATTACAAATGGATAGTTACATTGTATACAGTAATCCCCCTATAACACGGGCATTCCCCCATATAACGCGGGGATTTCACACATTATATTTCGGTACTAATTGTTCATGTTGATTATGTTGATTTGTTTTGTACAGTTCATAATTAGTTTTTAAGTTCATATGCATAAGTTTAGTTTTGATTTGATTTTAACAAGAAGTATATATTTCGTTCTCTATATAGTTTATTCTAAATATTCGATTTAAACTCAGTCCCAGCCAGAAAAACAAAACGTGAATAATTTATACACATACGCAAAGCTTTATACCAGGTGGTAAAAATCGTTATAAGGGAAAACTCCTGTAACGTGGAACCAATCTACCGTGTTATAGAGGGGGGATTATTGTATATGCAACATATTGACTTAAATTAAAATTAGACCTTACAAACGTTAGTACGCTCTATTTCAAAAGACCTTTAGTAAACGCCTGGGCGTCCTCCGCTCGTTATCGTCGACAGTAAGCAGAGCGTTGAAAGAGAGGTAGAGAGCGATTGCCGATGCCGCATGCCATACGTCATGGGAATCATAGAACTGTAGTATGGTGCACTCCGCGTTGTGACGGCGGGACTGCGCCGGGGTTTGCTGCAGATTGGAGTATGAAATTAATAAACTAATAATAAACTAGCTGTGCCCGCAGTTTCACCCAAGTGAAATTTATCGCTGTGTGTTATGCTGATGTATAAGCTATAGTATTGTAAAGTTACATTAAAATCGGTTCACTAGTTTTAGTATGAAAGGCTAACAAATGTACATCCACACATGAAAACTCACTTGCGCGTATATAATATTGAGAGTAAGATTAAATGAATTAGTTAATGATTTGTTATTATTTTCTTTAATTCCGGTATCATTTAAACAAATGTAATAACAACCAATTAAATAAAATGGACTTACGCAAAATAAAATTTAATGCATTAAAATATTTGATAACATAATGAATCAAGGATATATCGCAAATCATATCACTCGTCTTGTAAATGTAAATAACTTTTAAACTATTAGTAATATACATATTTACAATAAACATCTAAACTACAAATAATAACATAACAAATGTATATAACAATTATAGAAACAAAAACATTTACCATTCTCTGCTAATCCTAGCGTAACCCAAAATAGCAAACGGCAGCTAAGAATTGTAAAAATACATTATTAAAAAAATGTCAAGGATAAATCAGAAAGCACCGGACTATCTGACTTTGCTAAGTTAGGTAAACGTTGAGGTACAGGTCTTGATATAGTCTCTTGTAAATTTACTAATACTAATCATATGTTATAACTAGGTGTTGAGATGGATGTGTGGTGTGATACCAATGGATAAGATAAAAAAACTAATATATTAGAGGAAGTATGAAAGTGTCGCGGGTGTCGGCGTGGTTACAGAGTAATCGTCTGTCGTGGTATGGGCATGTAATGCGTAGGAACGAAGGTAATATTTTAAAGAAGGTATTACATATGAATGTGGATGGTTATATGGGCAGAGGAAGGCCAAAAAAGAGATGGATGAACTGCGTGAAAGACATGGTAAGAAAGGGAGTAAGTAACGAGATGACTGCGAAAAGGGATGAATATAAAAACATAAACGCTGACTCCAAATAAATGTGATAAGGATGAAGCAGATGATGATGATATAACTAGGCGTATTGTATAACGTATACGAAAAATAAACTAAGCAGTAACTAGGAACAAGAAAGTATGACAAAATAACAACTAGTAACAACACTCACCGACCACTTGGTTTTGCCATTAAGAAATAGTTTCAATGCAAAGATCCAAGTTCCAATGGCACCTGCCAGGTATAGCCAGCAGTAGATTGGCACCCTTTCACGGTTCACCAACTTCATCACGATATAGAACATTATGTATACAAAGGTGTTTGCCATGAGAACGGCAAGGAGATGGGGAGCGATGTCTTTTTTGGGTTCGACAATACTGGAGGAACAAAAACACATTATTACAATTATGTACATTAATGGCAATATACATGTAATTATATTAGAGAAAACCATAAAAAATCTTTTACTAAACCAATTTGCGTTGTTGATTAGCTATAAAATACATTTTTGAGTTTCCAATCAAAAATAATAATCTCAGGATAATTTACACAGCGCCATTTAGACCCAAGTTAAGCTAGTTATGGCTTGTTTTATGGGCACTAAATAATTGACACAAATACATACATATATTTTTTAAAAGTAAATACACAGTCATTTTTAATAAATAATATTTTATACATAGAAAACACCCAGACTGATACAAACAATCATACTCATGAATACGAATCTTTGTGCCGTGCGAGAAATCAAACCCGCGACCATCGAAAGTAAGGCGGTGTGCTAAACCGCTAGGCCGTAAAAGGTGAAAGAAATGGAATCATTCATATGATTCAACGGAGTCATTCAGTTCAAAACTTTATGAAAAGTGTTAATTTTACATTTGAAAACCTACTTTTTAAATAGCGATTCTGCTGAGACCTTTCTTATTTGGACCGTACTTTTAATTAAGAGGGGTGAGGTCACTTACTCAATTGATTAAAACCAACAGTTCGGGTGAAGTGTTTGGCGCTTCGCACGGTGTGCTTATACCGTTACAGTCTCTGTTGCTGTGTGGCTGCCAGCTTTAGCAGGCCTTCTTAGTTGCGCCTCGGACGAGTAGACCAGGTTGGGGAATACCACCAGGAGAGCCCGGTGTTGCTAGCTACGACTACTCACCCGTATATCGCCAGTGCCCAGTTGACCGCATTGGCGATGGCCAGCAGAATGGCTCTCACGGTGTTGTCGGGCCTTAACGCGCGGCGTAATCCGTGAGTCCGCAGCGAAGTGACAGCGCGAGAGAGCACAGCACATTCTGCATGTAAAAAAATTTGAATACTGTCTTTATTACTAGCAATAACAATAATAACTCAGGACAATTCACACAATAACTAGACTATAGAAATACTTAAGTGTATTTTTGTTTTGTAAATACATAACATACTTAAAAAACACCCAAACCAATACAAACTAACATATTATACTCATAAATACAAACGTTTATATCGTGCGAAGAATCAAGCATTGGAAATAAAATGACGTCCTATATGCTTGACCACCGACGTCAAATGAGCTAGTAATGTACATTAGACTTGAATAAGAAACGTACCAACACGAAACCGTCCCACGTAATATATCTTAAGCGTGAGTATAAGACAAGTGAACAGGTGTAGCACCGTGAATATCACCCAGAAATATATGCTGGCGTACAAGATCTCGACCAGACCTGCAAACAAATGAAGAGACTGTTAATGTTTAAAAAATGTATATAATATCAGATAGTAAATTAATTTAATAAATCGTATTTTAGTGTACTTTCGTATTTTAATTAAATCATATTTTATGAAAACCACAAGCGCGAAACTACCCTAATAATATAATGGTTAATGTAACAAACGTCTAAATATATTTTTCATTATAGGTTGTTTTACTTAAAAAAAAAACGATTAACGAGTTTTATACAACAAAAACATGGACATCACGTGATAATGTAAGGGCCGTGATAGCACTCATGTGTTGCCATACCGGAGGACTACGGTGTCATGTCTCGTATCTTGTAATTTCACTACCTTACCTTGCCCCTCAATTTAAACACATCCTACATTGCAAGCTGCTTGACGACTTGAATAAGCGAGACAGATGTAGCCACCCATACGACTTTTTAGAAAGTCTACCTCGATCAATAGTTTACATTCTTAAATGTGTGTATTATAAATATTTTCATTTATTTATTAATTGTGTAAATAAAAACAAATAAAGTAAGTGCGTTATTCATATTTATTTACGGAATTACGAATAACGTTACAGATTCCATACAATTATTTAATCTACTAATACGATTTGATTTGGAGATTGGCAAAACTTATTTTTAGTTCGACTGGAGACTGGAGACATCCCTTTTTTGAAGCAAGTTCTCTATTGGACTAATTAATATCTTCATATCCCGAAATATTATCAGTGTATCATTTTATAATACATTATCTTTTTTATATTGCTTAAATCAATCAATATTATATTAAACACGAAGAACAAGATGTTTATAATAATTATGGGATGTGTTCTTGTTGTAACATCTTGTTCTTAAAATGTGTGAGTTAACTGAGAAAAAATCTGTAAAATACTTACCGATTATTATAAGGACCGCGAGCATAATGAAAGTGGCGTGGGCAGTGGCGTTAACGTCGGGATGTCGGTTTTGGTACAGCTTCACCATACATAATACTGCCATCACGTACATGAACGACGAATCTGTTATATTAGACAAAGGATTAAGTATCTTACTCAGGGATGATGTAACTTTTTATTAATATGAGAGACTAAGCCCAGTACTATCGATTATTAATAGTGATTTATATTTTTACAATCATAAAATTAAAAACATTCTTCCTGAATACAAATATGATATACATTATTTATTAATCTAATGATTAAATTTAAAATGCGGATAACTCACGAATTATTATTTGTATAATTCAGAACAGATTAGCACGGGGTGGATTGTGGGGTTTTATGGAACACATATTTTTATTATTTCTCATATAAGTTCATGATTTTCACTACCTACTTCTTAAAGAAAACTGGCGTGAATTTAGCTTCCTGTCTTTTAAATGAAAAGCATTTTAGGATCGAATTCTAGTCGCAGAAATGACCTCAAATGTACAAATATCCATACTTCGTAACTTAACTACTACGAGGCAGTTTGATACGTTAAGATTTTTATTTATTTTCATTATAATCTTTTTAATCTCGATACACTTAATCCAGCGCCTTTCACACACAGTCACTTAAAATCCCCGACTTATCAAACCCTCGTATTATCATTAATTTTCTCATTCCCACTACATCTCAACACCCTCAGTTCCTTTCTTTACTCCTACACACGTATTCAAGCATACAACCTCGTATCCACAATCATATGTTTAATGTTAATGGCCATAAGAATTAAAACAATTTTTACACATAGTACATACCGAACTGAAAGTTCATCTTGTTAGGACAAAGGTGGTAGCAAGCTGACAGTACACCCTCCATCACTAGCACCAGCCCCATGGAGTAAAACAAACCATGGTGCTGTGGGATCCCCTTATCCTATAAGTTATTAGTACGTAAATGTGATATACAATATATAGATTACCGGCAAATAATTTAAAACTATCATGCTACAGTACACTCTTGAACAGTATTGATGACAATTCTTTTTGATAATATTAATATAACTCATCGGGTCCTTAATAAGGCATTTACCTCTCCTAAACCTTTCCACTAGGCTGCTCTAAGATTCGAGCTAACTCACTCTATTTTACATTATTCATTTATTTCGGATATTCATCTATATTATGTTAGTAAACAACTTATAAACTTTGTCAGTGAATTATAATATATATGTATATATATATCCTTGTTGTTTGACTTCATATATCTATTTCCACGTCTAGATGCACTGGGTCCGCAGCAGTGCAATATTATTACTAATAAGTTATAGTGACAGGGTACAAAAACTCTACATTATTGTTTCTGATTCTAATGCATTGTAATTTTGCGTACAAATGTGTGTCCCTACGCTTCTTATGGTCTTTCTTCAAATAATTTATATAGTTATCGGCAAGATTTCTTAATTCTTAAAAACCATAACAATTTATAATTAATTAGTTTTTATCAAAGTCAGTCTCAACCAAGCTATATTTTATAATGCTAGATAGATGCTACTAAAATGGCAAAGATCGCATAGAGGTCTTGTCTAGTATCGAGTACTACGCTAGACAGAAAGCTCGTGAGTTCAAATATGGTTAAATAAAGAAAATAAATTCTGACTGACTCTTCGGTGCTGGTTAAATCGATAACAAAACACCAAATTAATCCGAGTGACGGCGCCCCATACCAAATTGGATTTAAACAAACTAATTCGGGTTTTGCTGACTTACTGGTCACGTGGTTTTATAGTTCATATATTATATTTATTTTCCTATGAATAATTTTGTAATATTTTTGTGTAAAGAACATTTACTCTAAATAAAACAAATACTGAAGAATAATGTAACTACTGACTAGGCAGTATGGGCAATGCTCTTCGCCTGTCCAAATTGGACGAATTTTAACTAAAAAACAACAACTAAAACAGATAAGAATTTTTGACAAACAATAACAGTGGGCATGTCAAGTCATGTTAACGAGCAGAGTATATTAAGTCTATATACATTGAAACTTATAAAAAAAAGTTTACCAGCTCTTGGGGTTTAGAGGCTCTGACTTTGACTTGTATCACAAACACCAAGCCCAGTACCACATAACTAATATTGCTGTACACGTGGTTGAAATCCGACATCATGCCCAGTGGATGCGCGCATAAGAAATTGTAGTAACATAAGTCTTGATTCCCGGTTTGAAACACCATCTATCAAAATTAAAAAAACATTAAATTAAATAAAATAAAATATTATGTAGGACATTTTAGCCACCTATTAACGTCAAGTTTTTTGTACTAATATTTTTCTCCTACCGTCCATTTAGTGCTAGTTACAGTATACAGATTGAAGAGGAGAACTGGCAAAAACTCAACTGAATTTCTATTATTTTAAAAGCCAGTTTGCTTATATTAGGTACTTATATAGGTGTCTACGTCTAACAATAAATGAAAATCCCGTGCAACAATACAACTATTGCCATACACGTTTGTCATTTAAGTAATCGTTTAATGAGTGGTAGGCTTTGCTCAACCAATATGATTTAACTGATGTTTTAAACATAATCAACACATTTATACCAGAGTTGCCAACCGTCCTGTTCCTAGGATATGTCTTAGTTTTTGTAGTGTCCAGGTACCTAGTTATTAAGCAGAGTCCTGGGGTTTTATTTTTTTTATTTGGTGCGCATTTACATTCACTTTCAACAGTTATAAATTTTATTCAAATACTTTTATTTATTAAAAGAGAATGATTATTTTAATGACTTGAATTTCATTACATATTAATTTAACCATTGCAACTCTGTTACTCCATCATGTTTTTAAACTGAATTGTCCTGATAAAATAACTCCAATACTTGGATTTATAAATTTGATGTTAGCAACCCCTAATCGTATAGATTAATATTGTAGAGATGTAAAATTTTTGAAATTGGATGTTGGGGTTAATCTGTGATCAAAAGATCCGATTTTTTAAATTATTTTATTGTTCGGTAGCGTATTAATCGACGAAATAAATATGCTATATAATAACACGCAACGACCAACAGGTTCGGAACTGCAATAAAAAACTGTTGCAAAAACGCCGAAAATGTGATGCAGACAAAGTCCGTGCTACAAATATATGTATGTGCCGATGTGCTATATTTATGAACTTAATGGCAAAGTGAAATCCTGAAACTGTTCTTATCTGATGAAAAGAGGTAACGACTATGTACATAAACACCTCTATTATCAGAGAGACAGTAAACTTTGTACAAAGTCCCATCCTATCTACGGTGTATTCACCTTTCCATAGCCATTCAAACTATAGTATTGAACTTATTTATTTAGTACTTAAACAACGATATAAGAATAAACTTGGATGAATAATACCTGTTGGTAAGTGTACAAGAGCTGCACTACAGGCAAAACGTAGAAGACCGCTACGGTAAGAGCGCTCATGCAGTACCTGTCATGATACAGAAACAGAAATTGTAAATTGTATTGAATCGTAAAGTATGTTGGACTCTTTGCTCTTGATTAGCGTCTTATTTGGGCTGTTGTACGTGCCCATGTAAAATGTTACTTAGCTATAGTAAGTTCGAATCTAAGCAGAGCTTGTGTTATGGGTACTAGACAATTTATATAAATACTTAAACACTTTTTTTTAAATACATATATAATATACATAGAAAACACCTAAACCAATAAAAATCATACTAATGAATACAAATGTTTGCGGCGTGCGAGGAATAGAACCCGTGACCACCAAAGAATATACATATACTTAGCATCGTGACCAAGTAGTTTATATCACGACTTCTATCCAAAAGGTCGTGATTTCAAATCTGAAAGACATATACCTATATTTATTAGTGACCCTTTGGGGATGGCTAATACTATAAGCAATCTAAATTAATCCACCGCCACTTTGAATTCAAATATACACAGAGAAATGGGATTATGTTCAAAAAGTTGCTGTCATTATCGTTACAATAATTATAATTGGAAAGTAAATGGATTTGGAATATGTTTTTTAAATATCCTCCGATGTAATGTAATCGCAATAGCAATTCATTCAACACATACAGGATTAATCAGAAAGGTAGTATCAGTCATGAAAAAAAACAACATTTTCCAAGAAATACTAAAATAATTTTTAAATTTTTAATACTAAACCCCGATCACATGGCATAGTTGCTCTATTTAATCCTTACTAAATTTGGTACGCAGATAGTCTAAACCCGAGGAAGGACAATTTTAATAAAATGAAGTGGTTAAACGGGGAGATGAAGGTTGTATAGAAGTATCGTCATTTTTAAAGCTAGAAACATGAAGCTTCATGTCATATTTGTTTATATTTAATCAGCAGCCTATTTTTACATGACATTCAAAGTTAGTAAAAATATTACCTTTAAATGGGTAAAATAATATAGAGGATGAAAGTTTGTATGGAAATTGGTCAGCTTTGAAGCTAGAATAATAAGACTTTTTTTGCTTTTGGGGTTAGATTATTAAATATTATTCTTTATTTGGTCAAGGTCACTATTCCACGCGGACGTAGATGCGGGCACAGCTAGGACACTATAATTGTGTTGGTATAGCTTTTCCTACTAACCCTGTTACATCAAAATTCATCCTTCACTGGTGCCCGCAAACGTGAACCGTTAGCGCAGCCGCACACATAATTCTATTTGTCACTCAAAAGACAGTTATGTTACTCGTAAATGGCGAAAAATGGCGCCATCTAATCTCTTTCAATCGGAATTAATTAACAAAACACGGGTATGCTTATTGATTGGCGGTACAGAAGTTGTAAATACTACTAGGATAATGATCACCTGTTTGAACGGCGCTCATAGGTACTTGGGTGTGCTGTACTGAGGTCAGCGACTGTCAGCGACCATGTGGGAATTAACCCATCGTCTATTGTACGTTCTCTTGATTCTGTAAATGTAAATAACAACATAAAAAAAAGAAGGGAAGCAAAGGTATTTCAGTTTACAATTACAATTACTTTTTTTATTTTCAATTAAACAGCATAGACAATAGTTTTTTAGAAGTCGGCGTGTGTACCTCTGTACCTCACTCATTTCTGCCGCCAAGCAGCTTGCTTTTTATGATGTGTTCCGGTTGAAGGGTTGGAGATGGTTGTGAAATTACTGGGTACGGAGACATAATATGATATCTTGGTACTCTGGAATGGCAGCGGTTAAAGTGATGATGTCCGTGTAATGTCAAAATGTTAATGTTGACGGTTACCACTTACCATCAGGTAGACCGTCAGCTTATATACCATTCTTATTATTTGGGGTACACTCCCTAATAAGTCAGCGTTCTGTACAGACGTCTGTGTTTACGTCTTAACATCTTATGTATATATTTTTTTATTCTGAAGACATAAAAAATGCGACAACCTTCGTCAGGTGTTTCTTCGACATGTGGACGCTGCTCATTGGAAGTAGACGGCACCGGTTCATATTCTATTATCCTCTCCTCAACTGCAATGATAACAACATGTAAAAACTCAAAGTATGTGTCCATAATACAAAACAAAACCACGAGACACCCAGGCTACACACCGGGCTAAGAATTCAAAGGAAACCTATAATTATGTGTAGCGCCAAAATGTATGGTTACTTAATTTATATTCTTTCATTTAATTCTATAGCTATGTATGACTCAATAACGGGTATTACTGTATTCCATTTACAATTGCAATCTATTCTATTAGATCGAACTATACGAAAAAAGTACACGAAGAATATGGCACCTGAAAATAAGTGTGGATTAAGTCCTGGGTGGATGATTATATTCGAATAATAAGGGAATATGTATACGTAGTAACATATACACATATGGCATAAAATTAGTTGGGTAGTATTTTAAACAAATTACTTTTTCAATGTCTATACTTATTTGTATTGAGTCACCTCGCGACGCTGAGTAACCATAGAGCATGCAATAACGCATGCATTGAAATCGTTCCAATAACAGCGCATGCCGTATGCGCATCTTGATCCAGAACTCATGGGTTGACTTTCAACATTTCATAATATATTTCAATTGATAAAATGAGATAAAATAAAACATTGAATTGAAAAATTAACCAATTGAGCACATCAAACGATTTAGTCACTTGTGTAAAATTTTGTAATAGATTTTTTAATAAGGGGTCATCCTTATTAAAAAATCTATTACTTTTTCAAAAAAAACTTCGAATAACTCAATTAAATGCGCATTAGTGTAGACTTATGGTTTCATTCAAAAATAGTGTTAAATAATACCTGTATAACTCGATGTATAGTTCGGCAATACGAGGAGCACAGTGAGTAGTGCCACAAGGGCGAACAACGCTAACGGAACCAGCACGCCCACCACGTACTCCTTGTACGATATGGTTGCAATGACACGGAACCTATACATTTGAATATTGTTATTGAGTATAAAATAATGATTAAATTTTCCCCTGCGTTACATTTCAATATAAAATATAGCCTATGTGTTATTGTGATGCATACGCTATATTAATGTAAAGAGTAACAAACATTCATATTCATAAACTTACGCGTTTATATTATTACAACCGGTGCCGGCGGTTTCAACCGCGTTAAATTTCAATAAGAAATATAGCCTGTGTTATTGTCATGCATAAGCTATATGTATATATACTGTGAAGTTTCATCAAAATCCGTTAAGTAGTACTTGCGTGAAAGAGTAACAAACATCCATACTTACAAACATTCGCGTTTATAATATTACATTAAGATTAAGATATAAATGTTCATTCATCAAGTTAACATTCAGATAACGGTAAGCGTTGTGCAAAAGCTAATTTTTACCTGAAGTCCTTGGTTCTGTTCCCAAGGTTCGGTGGCAGAAGCGAACCTGTGCATGCCTTGTCATTCTCATTCACAATGAATACCACGTAGAAACCCGCCGGAAACATCGATTGCTACAAATACATCAATGATTTTCATTATAACTTATGACATATTATCCATACTAATAATACAAATGGCTGAATGGATCTAATATTGTATAAACTTATATACCTATTATTTAAAAATGAAGCAATGTCTTGGGGACTAACTGGTGACCATATACTAAACATTGCCTATTACATGCATGTTGTCTTAAACTTGTAAGAGTACAGTTGAAATTGACAATAATCTGTAGTTCAGGGTCTTTCAAATATAACATACATCTATTATACAAACAGATTTATACCCATGACCCAGACCCAGACCTGGCGAATGCCCATAATAAAATATACTCACAGTAAGCGTAATCCCGCCCTTGCTGGTCATAGTCAAATGGTACCCTTGATAGGATATATTATCTTCTGTATCGAAAACTGGACACTGAAAAGTATAACGGAATTATTAATCAGTTACTAAGGACCACACGACGTGGTTCTATTATAACATTTACTAGAATTTATATCAACCGAGTTTTAAAATGATGTTGGGGTCGCGAAAGGCAATTCTAACTTCTAATAACTACTAACATATTGTTGTTTTTAATTGAGGATGATAATAATAATAACCAAAGGACTAGTCACGCAGCGCTATATAGTACCAAGCTACCTAGATCTCGAGTTATGTATACCTAACAAACAACTTATGAATTAAATAAATGTATTATTTTTGTTTTATACATATAAAACACCCATACACAGTCATACTTATAAATACAAATGTTTGTATCGTCTTAGGAATTGAACCCGCAGCAATAACACAGAAACTATCAGTTTTCGCCTCTTCCACAATAAATGTATGTATGTAGTTAAAGAAGATAAAGTTATCAAATTGTGTGAGTCAACCGGTAATGTATCGGAGCACACTGAATAATAGGCGTTATAAATCCGTACTTCCCCGAACAATATTCACTATTACAAAGAGGTTTTGTATGTATGATTATTCGGTGTAAATTAATACCGGTTCTCCTGATCCGATTTTAAAATTCATGTTAGTAAGGAATATTATTCCCGAGTGTTATAGGCTATATAACATCACGCTATGACCAATAGAAGCGGAGCAGTAACTGCTGCGTAAATGGTTAAAGTTAGGGAAAACAAATGTATGACGAACTTGTTCTATTAAATTTAATATATTAAATCTATAGGTAATATTTAAAAATCCTAAAAAAAGGCCGATACTGTCTGTCGGCCTAATGACTTTTTTTTAGGCTTAAGGGGGTCTTCCTATGTGATGGGTTGAAAAAATCGATTTTTTTTTTTCATAAATTGCTCCCTTAACATGTCTAGAATACGGTAGTAAAGCGATTTTAGAAAATTCGAAGTCGTTTTAAAGATACAGCAGGTAAAAGAAAGAGCGGTTCGGAGCGGTGAGTTGGCAGTTAGAGACCGGGCCTATTGTGTACCGTCGGCTTTATACCTGGCCTGTTTTTATTAATATATTTGTTTATACAAGTTTAGACACGTTTCTACAGACTTAAAAAGGATAAAACCAATAAAGGAATAGGAGGAAAAGGAGCAGGTAAACTTACCGAAGTTATCCAAGAAATTACAAAATTCTACGGATTAGCAATTCGACGCCATCCAGATTCGCTTGAAGATATGAGAAAGGAAGTTTGGGCAACGTACTATCACAAATGTTCTTCTGATGAAAACCCTCAGCATCAATTTTGTCCAGAAGGCGAAGACAGTTGGTGTAAACCAATTTCATCACGATAAACCACCTCTAATTCCGCAAGTCCAAGAAGCTATCAAACCGGTTTTCGAAGATTTATCGAAAGACGAATTATTAATTCGTTGTTTAGGAGCAGAGACACAAAACAATAACGAATCTTTGAATTCTTTGATTTGGACTTTCGCTCCTAAACATCTTCATTCTGGTCCCAAAGTTGTTGAAATTGCTAGCTACTTAGCAGTTATTATCTTTAATGAAGGTTTTCAAGGTATTTTAAAAGTTATGTCGATTATGGGATGCCCTGTTGGTCGTGAAGCCCAAGCGTATGTTGAGAAACGGGATGAAAAGCGCATCTTACGCTCTGAGCGGCGCGTAAGTGATGTCGTTAAACAAGCCAGGATTGACTCAAGAGCTGAACAATCTGCTTTAAAAGAGAAATATATATATTTCACGAGGAAGAGGAAGGTACTCTATGGACCAGGCATCGCCGATTGAGAGTAAGTTGATATTTTAATAGTTTTTAACGGACTTGAAACTTTAAACGCGTTTTTCTCAAAACTGTGTTTTTCAAACTTTCCTCCATTGTATCTCAGAAACGGCTGGACCGAATTACTTTAAATTTACTCAATATATGTAAACGCATGGAATGAACTATTATCAATCGAAAATTTCCAAAACTTCGATTTTTTTATAGCAAAAAACAAAAAAAAAAAACGCCTAATTTGCAACTTTTATTTCAAATGTCTATCAAAAATCCAATTTTTTTTATATTCATTTGATTATAGATCATTCCGTGCTTTTAAGCCTACAAATTAAAAGCGTTTTTTTTTTTTTTTCAGATAAGCCGCGTAAGCCGGAATTGTCTAGGAAGTGGGAGCTCTTTTTTTTTCGAAAACGGGGGTGTTCAGAGCGCTGTAACTCTAGTTTCTATTGAATATTTTTAGTATATATTTTATATTTATATCCAAATATGTGTTAATAAATGATAAAAAACTTGAAGCTCTAAATATTTACTGGTCGTAGAAAAAAAATCCTAAAATATCCCTAAAAAACAGGCCGTCACATAGGAAGACCCCCTTAACTCACTATAAGTTTGTTATAGTAATTAAATATCTTCTGATCTAATGCATTATTTGTGAATGTGTTTATATAAACATGATATTAATCATTATCGAAATAAATAAGTAATTTATTATAAGTATTGATTTTTCAACAAAATTGTCCTACATTACATCATTTGATTTCAACGAACACTTTACAGGATATCTTACTTTTAATAAAAGAAGAACCTGAATATTGGGCCCGTGCGAAGCCGGGGATAATCGTCTATATAACACAAGGCGTTAGAATGTATCGCACATACGAATGTCTTTTTTAATACGATGTGTTAAAGGAAATTAAATTTAAAGCCTTGATTGACTGATCGTGTAGTTCTTCACTTATTTCATAGAACATGCTATCGCCCATTCGGGGAAGTTTATACTTGTAATGTGTAGGACTAATAATACTTATTAATTCGCGCGCAACTTAGGTATTTCATTCGAGGTAAATCATATAATATAGCTACTTACAGAATTGTTTTGTATGGAGACGGTAGCACAAATATCACTGTTGTTAGATTCTATCATAAGAATCACACTCTTTGGTATTGAGTAGTTGAATCTGGTTAAGAATAATACAAAATCACTTAAAACATTATATAAGAGTGTCGTCATCTATTTAACAAATAGTTATCGCTATAAATTTTTCTTTCATTTATTATACATACTTCCAATTCATCCCATTAACTTACTCTTATATTATATTGAACATTTATTATTTAAATAAATTATTAAATTTAAAAATCACGAATGTAATTTCTATTTTTCGAATAATGGCAATTAAAATCAGCGCTGTAGTGACACGCTGCAGCACCAGGTGAGTGAAGGCCCTTTTAGCTGGCTTGGCGCAATATTAGTTTTTAAGTTCTTCTATATTTTCCACACAAATAATTTTTTGACGTTTAAACTTCACGCAAGAAAAATCATCAAGCTTGACAAAATAATACTTAAATAATAGAGGACGGAGTATTTTCGTATATAAGGCAATTGGGCTATATTAGGTGTTTAGATCCTGTAGCACTGCAACTTTTACACTGTCAAGTAAAATCTACTGAATGGTTTCGAATGAAATTTGCTACACAGGTTAGAGCACATCCTAAATTACTTGGATATTGTTAATTCCAATTTGCGCGGAATACAGCCTTTTATAATTATTGTTAGTTAACGAATACATTCCTGAAAATCGGTATTACTTAACCAACTACTTTTTTAGTACATCAATGAAGAGTACATAAATATGACTTACCTAGGAAAGTACTCGTCCAATGTACCATTATTATGTTCAGTCTGTGTAGGCGGCGAGCTGTCAAATGAGAAATAGTAGTACTTGGGACTGCTCGGGTTCGCCTTCAAATCTGTCCACTTTCAAATTTTATATTATTAAGAAACATAACCACAATTTTATACTTACTAAAAAATGTTAAGAATGAGAGTAGAAATATATATATATATATATATATATCAAATAAAGAAATGGTATTATTAATATACAAGTCGTTGAATATGTATTATAAAAAATAAGATATTTTTGGCTGTTTGTATTTTGTGAGTTCATACACAGATTTTCAAAAATCGAGAATTAGAAGTTTTGATTTCCCACGAAAATCTTACCCTATATTCTTATATAGCGTAATATTTTCGTGGGTTCAATACATTTTTGTATAAATCAATGATAATTATCAGTTAGTTATTTCTATGGCCTTGAGTAAATAGGATATTAAAGTGTATAAAAGGTTGGAATATCGCGAATTGGATTGTAAAGGGAAAAGAATGATTACTGTTCTTTTACTCAACTTATTATACTTAATTCTTACACCCTCCATATCTCGTATAGCGCCTACTCTCCGGTTCCTAGACGTTTTCTTATTTGTGGGATTGTCAAAAAAATATAAGGCCAATACAGTAAGACCCTGCTTAATGCTATTTCGTTTAGCGTAGATTCGATTTAGCGCTCCTTTATTCAAACCCGGGGATTCCCTGAAATGTTGCACAAAGCTAGGTTTTCAAATATGTATATAACGGAAAGACGTCCAGGAAATAGTTCAAGAAACAGCAACTAGTCTTTCTAATATTGAGCTCAAGGAATTGAATGAGTAAGAAGAAAACGAAAATATTGATAGTAGTGTGTTTCCGAAGAACAAAAAGAACTTTCGATGACGTTTGAAATAAGGTATATATACTTATAAACCAATATATCGCAAATGATTTAAGTTTTGACAGAAGTTCAAAAGCAAAACAGGGTGTTATAGATGCTTTATCCACTTATGAAAAACTTCAAACAGAACCTAAAAGGAAAACGCGAACTACAATATATTCCTTCTTGACAAAAAGTGAGAAAATTGAAAACACAGAATATAATTAAGTATCTAAGTGACATCTAGTGGATCTAAGTTACAATTATTTATTTTTGTAAATATATTCGTTTATATTGTTTTTAATTTTGTAATAAACATATGTTTGTATTTATTTTATTAAAAAAAACATAAGTAAGTAAAATATAAGTATTAAATTTAATGTCTAACTAATTTTCTATCCATCTTCCCTTAATTCCATTATTTACATGTTACGATAGCCTGTTTCGTTTAGCGCTGAAACTGTTTGGAAACTATAGCTCTCATTAAGCGGGGTCTTAGGGGAGAAAGGGGATTGTTAATAATGTGACATAATGACTCCATTGCTAACAAACTACCATGTCGGGTGACCTCCACGCAGTAGTCCCTGGATACCAGCCGATCGCGATAAATTGGCTAGGAATTTGTCACGATGGGCTAACTGACCTGACCTCATGCTCTTCTTATCATCCTCCACTGGTGCCCCGCCAGCGTAAACAGTTAGTGCAGGCTAGTGCACCATTCCATTATCATCAATAAAAAAGAGGGGTCTTACTGCACATAATAATAATACGAATAATTATTTTGATAAAATATACTATTGATTTAAATATTAGACAACTAGATTATAAACAGAACAAAATAAAATTGAGCTGAACAACGATTAAAAATAATGTACCTTATCAAGTTTTATGTAGAAATTCTTAACCCGGTGCACCTTGATGTCCAGAGAAACATCAGTGGGTTTGAATGTTGTCACTTGCAATTGTGGCCGATTTACAGTTGTAATGTCTGTGGAAAATAGTGAAATCAATGTTTCCTTTGCCCATATCATTTGAAAACGGCGAGATATGTTTACATTATTCAGTCAACCCGGTAATTAATTTAGTATATATAAATTCTTACTACATTCTCTTATATAGATTAAAATTCACATTTTAAATGTCTATTTTTATTTAATAACTAATACTCTAAAAATATTATAATTTCTTCAGTTACTTAACCGTAATGATCTTTATGATTTTCATTCCTGTCTATCACATTCACTTGTCATACTACTGTTATATATTAAATCAAATAATTATATTAATAAATTACTTAATACGGCTATGAGCTAAAACTCTAAAATGACTTGAACACTTTAATTTTTGTATCTTGTTTGCTGAGATGATTTAGCAAAAAAAAACTTTTGTACGAAAATCGCTACTTCGGATTATATTTAAGTTTCATAGGCCTATGAAATTTAAATGGGAACCTAAAGGAAACGATATACAAATACATAATATCTTATTAAATTGTTAATTTTAAAGATTCATTTACTTCATTCCATTTACTGCGCTTTGTCTCAGTTTAAAGACTTCAATAAAAATTCTCTTTAATTTATATATATATATATATGTAGGCGAGTGTTTAAAAAAAAATTAAGTACAATTAAGTCCGTTTCAGTTTTAAGGTTTCACATAGAAACGGTGTTAGTTATCTAATTTTTCACCTGATAAAATGATTCAACGTGGTTTTGTGTATATTTTTTCTTATTATTTTAAATATCACATTAATTGTAAATTAATTTATTAACAAAATAATAGATGGCGTTGTATAAATGCATTTTTTTCTAATTTCATTATTTATCAACAATAGACAATGTCTACACATATTACGCAGAATTCAACGGTTTAGCCATTATTGTTATTATTTGTTTATGATTTTATTGAGCTTCCTCTAATGAATAAATTAATAGAGACGTTCATTATAGTTGATAATATAATTCTATTACGAATCACTGAGATTACAGAAAACAGTATGTGATACTTTTTATACTGTTTTCTGCGATTTATCATAATAATCAGATACATTATTATTAGGCTTGCAACGAATAGTGTATTCGGCAGTATACCGAATAGTAAATTATTATGTATAATATGTTTGATTTGATAAAATAATTATATACTGATTCTTATATTACAGACCAAATAAGTTGTAAATTTATAATTCTACATACATTATGTGTGTTGTATACTAGTACTTCCATAAAATAATGAATCGTGTTAAGCACATTCTTATAATTACTAATATTTTTTTAGGGCACATACAAGCGATTGAGATCAACTCAATACTGGTGTAAATCAAATGTATTAAAAAAACACTAAAGCGTGAGTCAGAATCGCACAGAAAGTTCGATTAATACCGCCTATTGAAGCATCGGCACAGAATCAATAAACGTTACACACATTGCTATCAGTCATTATCTTTAGTTAATTTAGCGATAAATGTATGTAGATACAGTATACAAGTAATACGTAGTAGGTATACAATGTCTCCAGGTGACTTGACTGCTTAAATTTTATCGAATACGTACAGAAAATCTTCAACAAAAATAATTATACTACTAGATAAACTAAATTTATTTTGTTTTACGAATATTTAAAAAAATCTAAGATATACAAATATAAAAAAATCGAACGGTCACTACGCCATGGCTGTCACAACATATTATTGACAAATGTATGTATGTATAATAACACTAATAATAATGTAAATAAAACAAAGTCCGGTTAAATAGTCTACACACCCTGATAAGAATTCGATTCCGATTTCACAACACAAATGACGACAACGTTGTCTAGACGTTAATTGTTCCTAATGATGTGCCTTATTTAGTCAAATTGTTAGAAGCGATCTAGTGATTGACTCCGATTGTTGGGTTTAGCTAAACTGGTATAACTAAATAATGACTGAATTTATTTACATCATCTTTGACTTGTCTCGATCTACTCTCCGTCTTAAATAACAGAATGACTATAAATACATCACATAAAATAGAAAAACAACAAAATTATTTTTCGTATACATTTTATATGCCTTAATTGATATTTCAAAAACTGAATTATGTAACGTAATCAAACAGTATGTAGATCACCAGCTCAGCTAGGAATTATCGATAGTAACAGAACATATGTTTATTATTATTTAATTAATAATAACTTGCACTCACTAGAGCCAGCGTCATGAGGGCACAGTGTCCTCCCCATATCAGTGAAGATCATTGAGGTGTGAGGTGTTGATACAACCAATGGCATCTCCCATGACAATATACCTAACAAACAGAAACATATTATGTTTTATCATTCCCAACTTTTTATTACTGTTCAGAATAAATTCCGGCATTAAGCTAAATACAGTAAATAATAAATAATAAAAACAAAGCATTTCTTTAATGACTCACAGTTAATTTTTCCTATGAACATAATAACTAATAAAAGTATGTAACAATTTTTAGTCTTTTTTTATTACTGTAATATATTTCTTTTTTGACTTATTCAACTCTCATGACATGACATTATGTCAACTACATTTTTTATACCACATAATATTATGGCAACCTTCCAGTTCCAGTTAATAAACAAATAAATTAAGCAAACATGTTATTATACTGAATACTATGCAGGCATAGTAACAGATGCAGATTGTAGGAAATAAATCTCACCTTTCTGCTGAACAGCTGTTATGAAGACAGGGTATGTAGTATTCATTGAAGAGTTACTATATACATGAACACGTGTAGGGAACCCATGCCAGTTGTCATTGTCCTAAACACAAACATATACATGTAGTTCATTCATCATTAAGTTTAAAGAAGATATACTTCTTGCACTGATCCCTATCATCATATGTTATAGTTTACTCTGCTTTTATATATATCATCTTTCAGCCGGTCAATCCTTATTTTTTGTTTCACTCTCTCAATTTACATCCAGCCATGTTCATTTAAAATAGGTATTTGAATATATATAGTTCATTCAATAATAGTAACAGAAAGTAATAATAATAATAATAATAATAATCTCAGGACAATTCACACGGCGCCATCTAGACCCATGTTAAGCTAGCTAAAGCTTGTGTTATGGGTACTAGATAACTGATACAAATACATAGATATTTTTTTTTTGTAAATACATACATATTATACATAGAAAACACCCAGACCGATACAAACAATCATACTCATGAATACAAATGTTTGTTACACGAATCGAACCCGCAACCATTGTCTTTGCTAAAAAAAACTAGATACTAAGAGAGGTTGTCAACATATATATAGTAGTAAAATATATATAGTACTTATTAATGATGTTTGAAAATTTTAAAGCTATTCTTACTATTACTTTAACCATTGTGTTACTATTTGTCCTGTATGATATTGATTTTTTTCAAGTTCATATAATTCATTATCTATTTACCTCGTCAAAATCCATTATATGTTCAGTCCAATTGTTCACACTTATATGAATTACAGTATCATATTCAAACCTGCAACAAGTATTATATTTACTTTAATTTTATTAAATATTGTAAATATTATACAAAACTTGCAGCTTTGCCATGCTTCCACCAAAACTGGCGAAGTCCTACCAACTCTTTCTGAGCGCAACTCAAGGCACTTCTAAGTCTACCTTCCCTATGACAGTAAAGATTCTGAAATCATATTGAAAATTACAAAACTTTGCAACAAACCTTACCAAAATAAAAAAATATATTCCTAAGTCTGATTTAACAAATTTTTATACTAACTCAGGAGTAATATATAAATTATAACACACCAATTTTAGACATATTTACCCCCTCCTACCCTTTGTCACAGCTTATTTCAATACTAAATTTAAATGTGACGTCACAAAATCTAAGATCCACCCAAATACAGATTATGATATAAAAATAAAGTGATATATGAATATATTAAGAAAAAAAAATAAAGTTAATATACAAATGCATGTTTTATATTCTATATATGATAATAATAATTAAAAATATAATGATGTATGATTACTGATTCAATAAGTAAATTTTACAATTTAAGTCTTGCACATTCACACTTACATTGCATTATGCAATACCTTTGCAATTCCTTTTCGACAACTTAACATTGAAATTATGCCGACTAATATTTATAATTATTTTCTGTTATAGAAATAAATAAATTTGTATCCAATACTTACGTGTTGTATATAAATTTTTTTTCGGGGCTATTGTTTACCGAGAAATTACTGTTTTGCAAACAATTAACCATACAATTAAATAGCACTACACCTAGTAATAAAAATGAAAACATTGTTAAGATTTACATGTATTTTTGGAATAATTTGTGACATTACTAGCAGTGTAATATAAATTATTTACTTATATTCAATATTAAATCAACATCTAAACTGAATGATCCATTCTACACACAAAATAAAATTCAAATAAATAATCTAGCGTTGTGTCTAGCAAACGATCTAGTTCAGTTGAGCGTTCCCAAAGATGAACTATGCAAACTAGTTCGCGTTTCGGTCTTTGGTTCATTTAATAAAAGTGTGATAAAACGCAGAGTCATACTAAAAACGAGAATACATATTTGCGGGAAATAATAATAGAGGTTGACAAATTTACAATAATGCCTTTATATAACTCGAGTCGGACGAACGAACTGAATGAATCAATTAGTGCGGAACGAAGATCTGAAATAATCAGAATTGTTGTTTTTAGTAGTGTATAGTAGTATTAATATATTTTTTGAGTAGTATCTACCAGTTGACCAATGGCCATCTGGTATTTTCCCTAAATTTTGTCAAATTTCGCACAATAAGTTTTTTTAATACTTGATGGTACTTTATTCGGTTCATGATACAGCGGGCTTTTTCTTTTTTTTAATAAATTGTCTACGTCGGCGCTGCACTATAATCTAATTATAATAATAATAATTTAGTATCCTGATAATATTTTTTATTTATAAAACTTTCTAATAATTTATTACGTTGTTTATTTCCTGCATTAATCGTGTACTTACTTTTGAATACGTTAATAAACAATTGATATGGTTACCGACTTACCGTGTTGGCTACATCAGCAACATGTGTGTGTATCTTTACGAAATAGCAAAAAAGGCTGATTACATTATAAAATATATCAGAACAATTTTGTTAGAAACTTAATGTCATAAAGTATTATAATATATCGTATAATATAATTAGTAATTCGGAATAAATAATGTACAATTTAATTAAATTAATTTACTTTTCTTACTACCCTGGTAATAAATAATAATATTTGAATGCGAATACTAGAATTTAGTATTGACTAAACTTATTGTGAACGCACCGACTGTAAATTTATTGAACATGGCGTCGTTTTGGCCATCAAATGAATCTTTGAATTTACAATTTAATTAATTTCTTTTCTTAAACTCTGTCTATTACGTATTTTATTTGTTGATTGTGATCTTATTGTGTTTTATTAATTAAGATTTCGCCTGTTGAGATTTTGGAGACTGCCGAGTTTCCAAAATAGTGGAGATGAGTGTGTCTGTTGTTTTGCAGTGATAACTAGGTTCTTTATACATGAATTCGCGGGGTTGGTCATTAGGATGCTGCCGACAGTGGAGGAGAGTCGCGGTTATGATTTCCAGGATCCTGAAAATGTGGACAAGTGGCAGGGTCTTTTCGTCAACTCACTGCGCAAGGTTTGTATACAAATGTTTAAGACTACAATTGAATAAATTTCGTGTTACATCTACGTCTATTATGTTGTGTAAGTGTTATATTCTAAATATCAGGATAAAAGAAATTTAGTTTAATATATATTAGGTTAAATTTGAACATTTGTATATCTAGGTAATTAGGTAGTATACATTGTTTTCAGAGGCTCATGATACTGATTCTGTTTTTTAAGATGTTTGTTAAGATAACAATTGTAATTCTGACAGAGGTTACTGCAGTTTTACCGGTTATTTTATCAATATTATAGATTAGTGTATGAAAGTAATTACTTACTTTTTTTCATTCATTTGCAGCAGAAAATGCTGCATCTGTAAATCTTGTTTTGTGATACCCAAATATGTAGTGTGTTTGTAAGGTATTGTTTATATTATAATCATCTTACTATAGAATTTACACATAAAAGGTTAGTAAATAGTGATTAATTGTTTAAATTGTGAAGCGGAAGCTCTAAGAGTTGGCTCCTTCTTTCTCTCACTCTAGGAATTCGAAGGTTATATATAAAATACACACTGTAAGAACATAGCCATCCATTAGTATTAAACCTCTCAACCATGACAATATTTTATGTAATATATATTTATTATCATTTATATTGCACACATTTTGCAATAACTACATGTTTATTCCTTTTTTGTTTTATATATATGTACCAAATAAAGAATAAACATGTAGTTAACACAGTACATATGTATGGGTGTTTCTCTGTAAACTGGGCAAGGCGTCCTAAGAGGGAACTTATTTGCTATACATGGATATTTATATTTATAAATAAGATTTATTTTCAATAAATCTTATTTAGGGAATATCCATCTAGGTATTTATTAAAATACAGCAGATGAACCAAAAATATTCCCATTAGTTTTGAATCTATTAAGCATTCTCTGGAAATTCTGTACAGGGGACTGTTAATTGAATAAAAAGATACAATTTTTATATCAAAATGCTTTATTTGTATATTATAATTCAACTTCGGTTAACAATTATGTAACTAAACCTTGGAAAAAATTATAAATCTGATTTAACTGTATGATATCGTATTCAGACTCAAACTTCAGCACTGAAATCTTAATATTGACTTTTTTAGTTATTTCACAATCATATAATCTTCATTTTTAAATGGTAGTACTATACAGAATTTGGTCCAACTTCATTTTCAAATTCTGAATTAGTGTAAACAACTTCTACATTAGGTATTGGCTTGTTCATAAATGCAGGAGACTGTTGCCAGAGGACTGTTTAATTTGATTTCATTGATAAATAGTATAAATAAAAATAAGTCTTACCTGAGGACTGGCTGTTAACCCAACAGCATAAACTGACTTCCACAGAGGGATTCTCTCATAGTTCTAAATATGATGGATTTCATGCTGTAATGGCAGCTACCACATAAACTTCAGAATTGTTTGTTTGTTTGTTTGTTTGTAACACTTTATTGTACAGTAAATACATTTAAATTAACTAAAGATACAATGGGTATTGTTTTGATTATGATTGCTTAGTTTGAATTTGACTACTTACATGTGATGAAGATGGCAGTGCAGTATAGCATGTGTTCATTGTTTACTGTTTATTCATATGTATATGTATCAGCTCAGAAGCGAAAGCACAAAACACTGACAATTAAAGAAAATGTGATATTTTAGATCTGTAACCAATCTTTCAGTAATTGACATACATGATGAAATATGATTTATACTTCAAAGTGCATATACATAGATACATATATAACATAGAATTTTATCACTGGACCTATAATTTGTCTGATTACAAGATACTCTTTTGTAAAAAATTCCAGACTACAGGGTACCCTTAGGCCTCTATAATCTCTCTAACCCTCTGTAATCTGACAAATTTGATGGTCTGACACTGCTCTGCAAAACATTTGTCGGATAACCGGGGGTTCTCCTGTATATTGTTGTATTCCATTAAACATAGAAATGACATTGTATAATATTTAGAATAAATGATTTAGATTTTATTCAAAGGAACTGTTGACAAAATGCAGACAAAGGAAAGACAAAATTTCAATGTATTTTTTTCTAATTGTGAAATAACATTAATGTAAAACATAGGTTTCCTTAACAATCAAACAATAATAGGACAACATGATTAATTCCAATAGTTAACAGTCTCTATTAGTTTAGTCTGTAGTAACTATTCTGGTTTGGTGACATGCCAAGTGACTGGTATTTGGGCCTATTAAAACAATTTTGCTACAATAAAGTTTATTTTCTTAGATTTGAAGTGTTGAGCAGTATATTATGTTTTTTTTAATTTTTTTAATTTATTTTAATGAATATTGGCCTGTGACATAGAGTAGTGTCTAGTTTACAGAGACATGTCCATGTACAAAAGTTCTTTTAGAATTGAAAGAATGAAAGAAAATATTTATTAATACCATTGCATTCTCATATGTATGGGTTAAAAAAAAAATGTATATATATATATAGATATATATATATATATCTATAGGTAAACCAGGCATACTCAAATACAAAATAAATTGCTGACAAGTTGCATATATAGTACATTAGTGCCTATGAATGAGACGGAATAAAATATATATTTATACCTAATAGTAGATATAAATTGTTCTCAAGTTGTAATTATAACTCATATAACTATAAAATTTTTGTAGGTACTAGACCAAGTGCATCCAACATTAAATGCTGAAGACAGTGCATTGCAGTATGTGGAGTCTTTGTGTTTACGGCTGCTCGCCATGCTTTGTGCAGTGCCATCCCCACTTACTGTACAGGTATGCATGATTAACTTCTATTACTCTCATGTAAAAAATATCTCCAAGAATTTTTTTATGCTTGGAGATATTTTTTTACATTTCAGTATAATAAAAATATATGATACTTTTACTATATCGAATTTGTATAGTTCTAGCATAGGAGCTCATTACACAATGTGCGGGGTGGAACTTTTAATTTTTTTCCAGAGAAAATTGATATCACTTCCTATTGGAGTTTGTAGTTAGCATTAATAAAGTAACGAACTTTGGCCATTCACATTTATCAAATTTAATTAAAATATAAAAAAAATATCTATTTCAAAATATTCAGTACATACCTATACTATATATTGTATCAAGTATGATTATCTTTAGTATTCTTCTATGGATATTGTCATCAACATTTAACATTTTAACCACTGACAAAATATCAGAGCAGACATTCTTTCATCTTCAAATAGTATCTGTTAAGAATAGTTGACAAGTTGACTAATATGGTATAATATCATTAATAGTATATTTTATTCTATGTGTTAACATCAGGATGTGGAAGAACGAGTGGCGCGAACGTTCCCGACGCCACTCGACAAATGGGCACTCGCAGACGCTAGGGACGCTGCAGTACAACGACGCCGCCGTGCTTTGTTGCCGCTCGACAAGTTGCACCATATGCTTCAAAAGGTAAAATAGAGAAGATAAGGAGAAGTACATCTTAATTTGGGAGCATAAATAAATTTATATCTACAGTTCTAAAGATAAATTGGCAAAATTGGTATAGGATCAATATAGAAGTAAACAAGAAGGGTCATCGCAATTCAATTATTTTTAATAATTCAATCACAATTAACCTAGTATTTATGCTAATACATAGATAAAGATATATAAAAGAAAATAGATAGATTAAAGATAATAACATCAAATTTATTATATCATTTAATAAAAAAAAACAATAATCAAATTGTCCTCTTTTTAAAGGCTGTAAAGCATTTTTTTCAATTCATAACTTGCTTTTAGTCTATATTTATTTTTTAATATAAGATTTTTAAGCGTGAATCTGCTTTGCTCACTGGATAATCCACCTCTTTTTGGGCATAAAAAATTTTAGTTACTAGTTTAGATTCTTTGAATACTTTATAATCATGGATAATCATGATTATAAAGTCTTCAAAGAATCAGTATCCTTATTACTTATGTCTTAACATTGTACAAACATGTAGCCACTCATTTTAAAAACTTTAGAATTGTTTTCACTAACAGGAGGTCCTTCTATACAAGATCGATATGTCAGTATCAGTCTTCATCACAGCAATACTGGAGTATGTCAGCTCGGATATACTGAAGTTGGCTGGGAACTTTGTGAAGAAGATTTCTCAGAAGTCTGGCTATGAGACTATTACACTCTCTGATATAAAGACAGCCATGTGCGCTGATAAGGTAATTTATTTAGCTGCTTCACCAATTTTTCAATTGCAATTTTTTTTGTGCACGATGATGTGATATCACTCTTGCTTTAACTGAATTTTTCAGCCTGCCGTCAGTAGGCGATTATAAGATGACGGAGCCAGTTACGTCTGTTACCAAATGTAATGAAAAAATAAAAATAAAATTATCTTTATTAGCGTTAGGTCTTGCTTCCCTACATTATGAATGAAAACTATATTCAAACTGTTAAGAAGCTATTGCGTGCATTGAAGATTAACGTGCACAAATGCATGTCAAAAAACCGTATACACCCGAAAATTCTTAAATGTTATTAATTATAACATAAGTATAACACGAGGAATTGTATGTCAACATACGTATAACATGTAATTATATCTTAAAACTATTATAAACGCAAAAGTTAGTATGTATGGATGTTTGTTACTCTTTCACGCAAAGACTACTGAACGGATTTTGATGAAACTTACAGTAATATAGGTTATGCATCAGAATAACAAAGGCTATATTTTTTATTGAAAGTTAACGCGTGAAACCGCGGGCACAGATAGTATAAACATATTTAGTACATGTGTAATTGTATTTGATGTACAGTGTGAGATTGTTTACGATTTGACTGCAGGTACTCATGGATATGTTTTACCAAGAGTCAGAGATGGCCTCCGAGGCTGGTAGCAGTACAGCGGAACAGCGAGGTCGGCGAGGTTCCTTGACTTATGCAGAACTGGTTAGGGATCTGTTAACCGATGAGAAACACTTCCTCAGAGAATTGCATCTTATTATCAGAGTGTTTAAAGATGAGCTGGAGAAGATACTGGATAAGGATAGTCGGGTGAGATTATATTTTTTAATAATGATTGATTTAAAAAGACAGTTGTATCGTCAGAGTGACAGCCTTCACCTAGTAATTTCTTGTATGCAATCTGTTAGTAATAACAAAACTGATCGCAAGTAGAACCATTAAAAATAATATGGTGGAATATAAATTATAGTAATCTTATACCTATATGTTTTTACCACTATACCATTTGTATTTGTGTAGGTGTAGGATAATTACTTGTTTCATACAATCCATATTTTTATTTACAGTCAATTTCATTAATATTCGGCAACATAGTGGACATCTATGAGTTAACCACCACGCTGCTGGGGAACCTCGAAGACGCGATGGAGATGTCTCAGGACTCACCCACTCCCTACATTGGCAGCTGCTTCGAAGGTGATATATCTTTTGTTTTATAATAAAATTAGGTTTGGATTATCTGTGTGTTTTCGACATCAATTCGAACACTTTACCTATTCTTTAAGAGTCTAGCGATAGCATTAAGATATGGAAATGTTCATCTTAATAAGTTATTTTCTTTTGATGTGTCCCATGATGTGTGAATCTTTCCGTAAGACCAAAGCTGCCCTAGTAGACTTAATGAATGTGCAGGTATATAGGTATATATACATAGAATGCGGTTAATGTGTACCAGTGAATCAATAATTCAATATGACTTAATTTAACGGTAACAAAAGTGATAAAAAATATATCAATAAACAATTTTCACTTTGATCTACAGAGCTAGCGGAGGTTGAAGAGTTTCGTGCATACGTCCGTTATGCGAACATCGTAACACAGAAGGAGTCCCGTGATGAGTTGCAGCGGATTGTTGATGATCCACTTGTGAGTTATTGCATCAAGTTATTATTATGAACTTTTGCGTTCTAGCATTACGCCCCCTCTTATTTTCCTCTATAATAGTGATGATATTTTGTTATCATTTGAGACATTGATATGTCGAATCTATGATTTTATATAATAGTAAAAATAGGACAGTAAACTGTGAAATATTAACAATATACCATCTAGCCTTCAGTTATTTTGTATTCTGACTTGTGTCGTTATACATTCTCATTTCTATTACATAAGTTCAACTTCAAGTAATGGTTTATTAAGTAGGTTAATGTTGTAATAAATGACAACTTATTAATGATTCTAAATGTAACTTAATTTATTATGTGTTAAACATTGTTGATTTTTATTAACCGAAAGTCATTAACTTTTTATATTAGACTAATCAAAACTTTTATTAAAATTATGAAATGGTTGAAATAATTACTTTCTTTCTTAGTAGTATCTATAAAAAATAAAGTATGAGCTGGTTAACAATTTGTTTTTACAGCTGTCTGAGAAACTGGATACCGCGGGTCATGGATTTCGATTGGCAGTGAAATATTACTTGCCTAAACTGCTCCTTGCGCCTATCGCACACGTCTTCCTTTATCACAACTACGTACTCGAGCTTCTACCTATAGCACCTGCCACTGAAGATAGAGAGAGCTTTAAGCAGGTTAGTATATTTAATGTGACGGAAGTGTGAACCTCTCATAATTTATTCATGATAAGTATATGCGTTATTGATCGTTTCTTTTCATATGCAAACTGTATTAAACATTCTTGTCTCTTATTCCGTTTTCCATATCCATACTTGTATGCATAATGGATACTGGGATGGCTGACTGCTGTACTACTCGACTTTTTTTTACTGTTTAGAGCACTTTAGGGTTTCATACTATTACATAACTGCCAGTTTCAATATTTTTGAAATTAGAATAGTTTAGCAGTGTTTCATAATAAATACGCGGTTAAGATGTATTGCCTTTGCCAGCAGTATTAAAATGTTATTAAAACGAACACTGACAATATGAAACAAACTTGATTAATGACCAAATTTTTATTACTATATGAAGTGCTTAGTTTTTTAATAACAATGTATTAAAATATGATAATATATTAATTATTTTATTTACAGGTCGAATGCAATTTACATCCAATCAAGAAATTATTAATTAAAGCATTGGGAAATGGCCCTAAAATGTAAGTATACATAAAACATAATTTAAGGTCTAAAAGATTTCCCTCCCTTTTGAGGGCGAGACCTTGGATTTAGCGCGCTTACCCAGAAGAAATCTATACATCGTAGACTTGAGTAATCCTGGGTTGTGTTTCTCCGGGAACACAACAGCTCGTAATTATTCCTCTAATCATCAGTTTTCATAAATTCATCGTGTCGTGTCGTGTCCTAACATTTTTCCTCGTTTTCTTTCATCCTGAGTACTTCTTAATTTCTTACTTTATCTTTCCAGCTAATTCTTTCGATCCTTTTCCAACACCACATTTCGAAAACATCTAATTTGTCCAATATTATTAACTAAATGTTAATGTAATTTATGTGAGTGATGATTTGCGGTCGTTGTGGCAGGGACGCGACGCTGCGGATGGCGTCTCGGTCACGACGGCAGCTGGCCATAGAGAAGTGCAACGAACTGGCGCGCCTCGTCGACAACTGGGACAACCGTGACATTGGACAGTGTTGCAACGAGTTCATTCGAGGTATGATCCATAGAATACTTCCTTACTAATATTATAGGTGCGAAAGTAACTTGTGTTATAAAGTAACTCTGTCTGTCACGCTTTCACGCCGAAATACTGAATCGATTTAAATCAAATTTGGTACACAGATAATCTAGTAGGACATAAACTACTTTTTAATGCGAAAATAAGGTTGTAAAGGGCTGAAAGGGGAGATGAAAGGTTTATTAGAAGTATTGTCATTTTTAAAGCTAGAAAGTTGAAACTTATATTTTAGACTGTTGATTAAATATAAATAATGTGACAATCAGAGTTAGTGAAAATTTTACCTCGAGTCCGTAAGGTAAAATTTTCACTACCTTTATTAAATTAAATGTAAAATAAAATAGGGGATAAAAGTTTGCCTGGAAATTTGACATTTTTGAAACTAGAACGGTGTCATTCATGTGTTTTTTTTTGTAAAATAGTCTAAATAATTAAAATGCTATTCAGGGTCACGCAGACGAAGACGGGCAAAGCTAGTATGATTTGAATTTAAAAAAAATCCCCGTGTTGACTAGATAAACAATCAGACATATAATACATTTACACCAGTGTGACTTGACTGAAGACTTAATAGCTTAAAATACCTATTTAAGAAATAAGGTAGACATTGAGTCTATTAGGTATAAAGTTAAGTGATATGATATTTGATGTATGCACAGAGGACACATTATCAAAGATTGGTCCGGGTCGCCGGATAGCAGAGCGACGGGCATACTTGTTCGACGGTCTCTTATTACTGTGCAAGCCAATTACTAGTTTGGTGAGTTTAACTTTTAATTGTTAAAAATACGTGTCTAGTCCTAACACCGGAAGGATACTTTATACAAGTTCGTTTGCCTTGGTATCTATTTACCCTCAAGTAACATGCTGGTTCCAGAATATATTTCATATAAATGTTTGAAAAGAATATATAGCACAGGGTCTAAGGCGATGGCGAACATGATATGGAATATAATATGGAAGTATGAAATCGCCGGTTTACATGACTGTAGATTATATAGTTACGAGAAGACGTATCATCCTTGCCGATCAATAGCGACCTGACATGGTAGTTTTTAGCAATAAGGTCACTAGTAACATTACCACAGGCGACTCGTAAATATATGCCCTGGGTTAAACTACTCAGGGCCTACCTTCTTATATTTTTCAACTAAAAAAAAATTATTCAATGTATCGCCTATTGTTTTCAGTGAGGGCTAGGGGCTCTTTATATCTACGGGATTCCTGGGCCGCAGCGCAAAAAGCCCTTAGGTAGAACTGCCCCTGCATTACTAATAATCCACTTCCCATATAATGCATCTGTATTTAGCTGCCGTATCTGTATGTAACTGGGAGCCGTGTGCCTACAGGTGGGCAGCGCGGGTGGAGCGCTAGCGGCAGGCGCCACTGCACAGCTTAAACTCAAGGAGAAACTTCACGTACGGAAAATGGAACTCGTTGACCGCAACGACGCCGACGGTGAGTAGTCCCTGATAATGACAGGAAATGCAATAGATCACAAGCAATATTCTTAGGAGAGGGCAGTAGAAGCATTGTCAACTGTCCACATTGTGGTCAATGTTCTAGTTGATATGCCTACATGTTGCAAATATATTATTCTAAAGGGAATGGGTTGACTTTGGCTCATCTCGTTGGCAGAGTAAAGTCATTTTCGATAACTACCATTTTTACCACAAGTTAGTGACAGATCGTAAATGCGCACTACAGTAACTTGGCAGATTAAAATAATTCTCTATACCTACCATTTCTACCACAAGTAAACGACAATAAGCGTTTTGTTTATTATTGATACGATAATCCAGTATAACCTCGACATATGTCTACGACCTCGTCTTAGTCCACAGGAGTGAGTAAGCCGCTACATAAATTATAACATTACATTCCATTAGATTGCCTGTCGCTTTGTTTTCATAAAGGAATAATGTATTACATTTTTCGTATTTAGGTTGTCTACTAATAGGTAATAATGGTATTTGCATTGGTTGTACACAGAGGGTCGTCACCTGGTGGAACTAAATCCACGCGTGGGCGGTGCAGTGCTACTGGCTTGCGCCTCCTGCGCTGAGAAACGGCACTGGATGTGCGACCTTGTCATGCTCAACACAAAGCCGATGCTCGATCGCACACTAGACAGGTGAGTGTTAAAATAATAAAATAGAATTATAAATATAATCATATCATATCTCTGAACAATTCACACAACATCATCTAGACCCGAGGTAAGCAGAGCTTGTGTTATGGGTACTAGACAACAGTATTATCCATAGATTTTTTTGAATATATATGTACATAGAAAACGCCCAGACCGAACATAACTATTAGTATTAACAAATGTATATATAAACTAAACAAATAAAACGCTTCCAACATATTTAACATACTCTGCTAAAGCGAGCGTAACCCGAAAGCGCAAACGCAGAAGCTAAAAGAATTACAAAAATATGCTCAATAAAAATAAAACGCCCAAACCGATATAAACAATCATACTCCTGTATACAAATGCTTGTATCGTGTAAGAAATCGAATTCGCAACCTGTTAAACCCTAGACAACTGAAGACGTCAAATAGAATTATGATCATAGAAAACAATATATGTACGAATTCCATATTTATTACTATTATTATTAAAAAAGAATGAAGACAATGATGATACATAGAAATTTAAGTAACAAATAGTAATATTGCAAACAAGATCAAGGTGTGTCACACTAGAGTGCCAATATTAAATATAAATTCCACTGTTATTGAAATTACTATTGTTTCTTTTTTTATTTTTCTTCGAGCATTGTTCTTTGCGAGGTGAATATGTTGTGATGGATTGGTTATAGCATCCTGTTGGATTTGGAGCGACGTCATCCGCTCAGGCTACCGCCAGTGTCACTGTATCGGTTTGCAGTACCAGACTCGCCCCAAAACATCGTCTTAGAAGAGCCCCCACGACATCAGGCGGATAACGCGCCACCGCCTCTTATTAAGGTAGTATGAATTAATTAATTTCTCGTGGTATATACAAGTTTCTTTTAATATCATATTTTACCCCTCTGATCCGTCCCCCGTCCAATTCAAACGGGCATCGAAATTACTACGGCCTGAGTCGAGGTTCGAACACCTAGTGGTCCCTCAGACTAAAGTCGTATCCGTCAGTCGGGAAGCCTTCAACGACTCCATAAGTCCATCCACGTGTTTAGAGTGCCATCTGCACTCGCCCCCTATAGTCCGGTGTAACTATAAAGGCCAGCTGCAGCCAACACCATTAGAGCAGTCCCTAAAAGTAACAAATTTTACTAGTTGAAGATAGAAAGGTGCACGTTCCTGCACCAGTCTATTTTTCCCTTAAATTTCTCCCTTATCACTTAGGGGTATGAAAAATAGATAGTAGCCAATACTCAGACCTACTGAATATGCATATAAAATTTCATAAAAATCGGTCAAGCCGTTTCGGAGGGGTATGATAACTAACAACATTTTTTTTAGGGTGCTACACTCTTAAAACTGGTGGAGCGTCTCACGTACCACATCTATGCGGATTTAAAGTTGGTCCGCACGTTCCTCACCACATACCGCTCGTTCTGCTCGCCCGGGGAACTTCTCGATTTGCTGGTTGAGAGGTTCAACATACCAGAGCCGAGTGAGGTTTACGACGCACCCAGACCTGGTGAGTGCAATGTAGTTTGCTCGAGCATAAGTGTCTTGTCTCCCGTATTAATACTTGAATTAAAAAGGTTTACAATGTAGTAATTGGAAGAAAATCGGATATTCGTTATTTGTTAGAAATATACAATGTAATATCTAGAACAATTTACACACCATCTAGTCTCAAGCTAAGCAGAGCGTGAGTGAATGAGTACTAGACAATTAGTACAAATAATAGATTACTTGTTTTTGTAAAAGCATACACAATAATTATAGAAAACACCCAGACTGATACAAACAATTCTCTGTGCCGTGAGTAGAATCAAGCCCACAATCATCGGAAGTAAGGCGGTGTGCCACTAGACCACTGAGGCTGTCAATATATGTATTAGGCGATCGTTACAATATTGGATAACATTGCCTATCAAATATTCGTAATCTATAATTTTATATCAGTTATAACGTGATTTGTGACGGAAATCATAAATATGCTCACCATATACTAGTAACAATTTGCACATATACAATTGACGAAGTACCTGAAAGTAAAAAAAATACTAATACATTTATATTATATACTAGCTGTTCCCGCGACTTCGTCCGTGTGTAATTTAATTTTATTTTCTAAAATAAAAGTAGCCTAAGTTACTCTTTATTACATCGGCTACCTACCAAAAAAAGTCCCATCAAAATCGGTCCAGCCATTTAAGAGATTAGCCGGAACAAACAGACCGACAGACAGACAGAAAAAATTGTAAAAAATGTTATTTTGGTGTTTATATCGTATTTATATTCATATGCATGTAGTAAAAAACGGTTATTTCAATATTACAAACAGACACTCCAATTTTATTTATATGTGTAGGTGATTACTATAATATTATGCATTGGCAAAGCATTAATCTTAGTAAGCATATTAATTATTGTATTATTAATTTACTATAAATACCATAACATTTCCCCATGAGCAGCATGGGCATGGACAGGCTTTACTAATTGCAGCGCCATCTATCCAAGTCCGACATAAATATATAACTGTTTCACCACAGTATTTATGTATACATACATTATATGTTAATTTGTGTGTATATGAAGTGATGCAAGTAAGATAATGTACAATTAAAGTAAATAATTACATTGAAACCAGGGACCAAATTATGTAACGATGTTATTAACAATTCTCGATCATAACTCACTAGCTGTGCCCGCGATTTTGTCTGCGTGGAATAGACGACGAATGGCGAATTTCCATACAAACATTGATCCTATATTTTATTATACCCCCTAAAAAATCTTTACAAACTCTGTATGTCATATTTCTTTATATTTACTCAACAACCTAAAAAATAAGTTTCAAGCTTCTAGCTTTAAAAATAACAATACTTCCACGTACAAAACTTTCATCTCCACTTACAACCCTTTTTTCGCATTAAAATGTAGCCTATGTCCTTTCTTAGGATCTAGACTATCTATGTTCCAAATTTCACTTAAAACTATTCAGTAGTTTTGGCGTGAAAGCGAGACAGAAAGACATAGTTACTTTCGCATTTAGAATACTACTAGTAAGGACTAGTAAGCATTAAAATTGGTCGGTTTACGATTCTCTAGGAACCACTTGAGAGTTGCAAATGCGAGCTAAGTTGTATAGTTCGCAATTGCAACCGTTAACTGGTACAACATTACAACAAAACACATAAATGCAAAATTGTATGCTTTGAACAAATACAATTGAGTCTTGTTAATAAAATCATTACGTAATTAGACCCTAAACATATTTGACTAGTTATAATGAGCTTTCGTCGATTAAAGAGCTTTATTGGGATTAGAAATAAGCATTGATTGGTTCGCTTTACGCTGAAACATAATCATTCACATTGGCCTTGGCATCGTAATGACACTTGTGATAATATGGGTCAAAACACATGAATAACAAAAGTTCGTACACGAGTATCACTGATAGATACGTTATTACCTTTATAACTTTTAAACAAAAGTTTTGTTAGCTAAAATGAAAAGGTAAACTTACTACCTATCATAAATAAAAAATAGAATATGTTTATAAACTAATGTTTAAAAAAAATGTAGGGAATAACATGATATGCCTTTTAAATTGAATTAATTTGAAATCTATTAAGAAATTAATAATATAAAAATAATAATATCATAAAAACATGACATTTTAGAGAACAGCGCTAGATTAAAAAATGTAATGACTATTCAAAAGTGCTTCAATGTAAGTTTATTTGAATAAATGATTTTCTATTCTATTCTAATAATTAGTGTCTGCTTGCATTTTTCTATTTCTATAAATGTATTTTATTGAAATAAAGAAGTCATTTGATTATATGTAACAAAAATTATGTTTAAAACAAAGTTGTCAGTTTATCACAAGAAATAGTAAGCAAACAATAAATATAATGAACATTATATATGACTATTTAATACTGGATTGTTATTAAATCTCCGTACTTCTAATCATTGTAAGCACATTAAATTCGCCTTTTGTATGACATTTCATTGGTTAGAAAATCTAAAATAAAAACTTTAGTGTTAGATGTAATTTGTTGTTAATTAAATATCATCAAATCTGATTATAGCCATAAGACTGATGGCTGATAGAATGATAAAAAAAAGATGTAGTTTGTGATAGGACGTAATGTGTTTTGACCCATGAACCACATTTCACCAAAATTGCCTCTCTGTGCACGCTAGTCACGCGGATCAAGACGAAGAAGGACGCCAGTCCCAACTCATCGCTAAACATTTATGCCGGTAATGTATATGTTAATGTTGGATATAGTGCGCATGTATTAATATGAACCAGTAAGTCGTGTATGTAAACTATTGTTGATTATGTATTGACGATGTTTCGAATGCTAAAATGGTGCCATAAAAATTACAATTATACATGAAATATCTGTATCGGTACTATTCCTTACAATGAAATTATTGGTATATGATTATATTGATTATAATTTATTTTATCATTTAATCATTATGCATGTTCCATTTACAATAAGCGCTAAATGTCAAGTTAAAGTCATAACAACAGATACAAATGCGTTCCATACTTAAAACAGCAGACTGTATTAGAGAAAGTTAGTGCAAGTGCATTTTATTAGCAGTGGCAGAGCTTAATTTACCATGTGGTCTAGTTCACTGGTTTATTCACAGTATAAAATATCGCTAACGGTTTCCATTTCAATCCAGAATATATTTATATCTCTGTGTGTCTGAATTTGCACTTTCGCTTTCAATTCGAACAACCGCCTTGATCGCAAATACACACACTGAGTATCAACTACGTTACACAGCTGTATATTTTTAGTATTTACCTGCACTTGAACATAATGCCATGATCGTACATAGTATGCATTAATATCTGATCGCTTTTATGTGGTGTCATATGATATGCTTTCAAAATATTTCTAAGTTTCTCTTATCTTTACTATTATGAGTGAAATTGTTCTAATAGGTAAGTATTTTGCAGTAAAGTATTTTACGTTACTTCGAGCAGCCCTTTTTTATATATTTTTTGTCTCTATTCGTCAAATTAGAAAATGCAGATGGATTTGTTATACAAAGTGAAGCATGATTTGGCCCATCAGAAATCGTTTATAAATCGTATATAGTGTGATGGCGTGTAGAAATCTATAATTATCTCCTTTTGCTGAACTGCTGTGTATATATGAGACAAGTTCGTTAGTTGATAAACAAGAAATCTAGAATGAGTTGCCTAGTCTTCTATCTTTATAAGAGATCTTAAAGCAATGTATTATATTTTCTATCGGCAGGAGTAGAAATTGAAAAGCAATAATACGTAATACTAGTCCTGCAAAACAATGTCTTAGGTTCCCTACGGACTTTTAGAGTATACACGAATGCCTTTGTATACATATTGGGTTATCTGTGCCCGGTATATAATGGTATAAGATAATTCCATTATGAAGTAACAATTCGTGTATAATGGTTTGCTTGAAAGGTTAAAAAAGCTAATAGAATTTCTAGTACAAGATGCTAAATACTTTGAGTTTTGACAATACAGGAGTTATGCTATATATTCCGTAATGTCACTGTTGATAGTCACGTGTATAAAGTGGACAACCATGTACAACATACATTTCGTTATGACTGTCAGTTTGTCAAAAACTTTTTGCTATCCTTATGTGTACTTATTGCTATGCTGACCAGAAAAGTTTTTTAATATGTTCTATTAAACTTGAATGAATTTGTATTTCTTTCCAAAATATCTTTAGATTAATTTAAATCTTGTACATATAACATAATATTTAATTCTTTATTGCAGACGGAATAGAATGTGTAGGCAGTAGTGATGCAGAGAAGCTCAGTAAGAACACAGCGAGAGAAGACTGGAAAAGGTATAGGAAGAAATTTCAACAACCCGTTAAATTTCGGTGAGTATCAATTCTGTAATTATTAGAAACTATTGAATAAGCAGAAATATTTTTATTCATAAATTCTATTCTCACATTGGTAGTTTTGTTTCATTTATTTATATCATTAGGTTCCACCACTGTTACAGTCTTCTTGACTTTATGATATATTATTATCGTATATTACTCTAAATGTCTTTTATAATTTGTGCAGAGTAATCAATGTACTAAGGCATTGGGTGGATCAACATTTCTATGATTTCGAACGTGAACCGACGCTCTTGGAACGCCTGCGTGAGTTCCTCGAGTCAGTGGATGGGAAACCGATGAGGAAGTGGGTCCAGAGCGTACTGAAGACTCTCCAGAGGAAGGTCAGTAAAGTTTAGTTCAGTAGTTTTGTAGTGATCTTTTTATGTAAGAGTAACTGTTGGTCAATCCATTGATTTGGTTTCTTAGAATACCTACCATACCGAGACTTCAAGTAATTTAGATAGATTTATAATATAAAAAAACCGATTTCAATATTTATACAATTATTAATGGGAACAACCAACACAGGAATACATTTCTAAAAAAATGTCTACATAGGTCTCATATATCTTCACCTAACATTCTTCGCTCTGTATGTATGGTCTCTGTATAGTTCGGTAAAACAATTGTTTCTTGTTACAAAATGTAGTATATATAAATATATATATAATATATTATATATTTTAGATATCTGATAATATGTACAATTTCAGAGCGGGCAGGGCGCGGAGCCGGAGGGCGGCGGGTGCGGCGGGTGCGGCGGCGGCGGGGGCGGGGGCGGCGTGTCGCACGTGTTCAACCGCGCGCCGCCCGCCCTCGTGCGCCACGTGGCCGACCCCGACCGCCACGTCTGGCACCCGCTCGCGCTGCACCCGCTCGAGCTCGCGCGACAGCTCACGCTGCTCGAGTTTCAACTCTATCGACAGGTGAATTCAGTTGAATTTATATTATTTAAACAAATTTAATGTTCTTAATATAATATACATTATATGAAATTACCCATTGTAACTAAAAAGTTTTTTATTCTCCAAACTAGGTGCGCCCTTCGGAGTTGGTGGGTGCGGTGTGGACCAAGAAAGATAAAGAAAGATCTAGCCCCAATTTACTTAGGATAATTAAACACACCACAAACGTAAGTTCTTGATAGCTTGAGAGATTACTATTCCTTATTTTAATGTTTCCCTTTTCATTCTGTTTGTGATTTGATTATAATGAATATTATTGACAAACAAATTGTAGGAAAGAGATCATATGTATTTAATTTAATTTAATTATATGTAAACTTTCAACTGCGCTGAGTATTAGTTGATTGGTGATGAATTCCAATTTAATCCATTGGAATTCACCAGTAATTAATAATTAATAATTCTGTAATAGTGTTTTTTATGTGAGAGAAACAATAAATAAATAGTTCCATTAATGAGTTCAATTCCAAGAAGTACAGTGTGGAGGTATTAATTAGAGATAAATGTATTTGAGGTACAGAAATTATTTCCCTAGTTTATATTATAATTTAATATACAGTTTACACGGTGGATGGAGAAATGGATAGTGGAGAGTGAGAATTTGGAGGAGCGCGTAGGAGTGGTGTGCCGGCTGTTGGAGGTGGCGGTAGCATTGAGGGACCTCAACAACTTCAACGGAGTGCTCGCCGTGGTGGCAGCCTGCGGCAGCGCCAGCGTACACAGACTGAAGGCCACCTTCCAGGTACTCGCATAGACATCTTACTAATGTTATAAACGCGAAAGTTTTCTGTGTGGATGGAGGAATGTTTGTTACTCTTTCACTGAATGGATTTTAACGAAACTACAATAATATAGCTTATACATCAGAATAACACATATGCTATAAATTACACGCGGGTGAAACCGCGGGCACAGCTAGTAGATTACATAGTGGACGTGTGGGGATGTCGCTCACTCACACAAGTGTCACGTCCAATCAGACAATCTAGAGATTCTATATGTGATGATATTATTTTATCGTTATTTGATGATTGCTCACGCTATCACAGGTATAATGTAATCTGGATGTCTATCTTTACCGAATACCTAGGTATGTTTAATGTGACTGCAAATACCTGTAATCACAGGATGAAGTAAAAGATTTGATTTTAAATATTCAATTATTCAATATATTTATTACTTGCTGTACCCGCGACTTCGTCCGCGTAATAATGAAAAAATATTTAACTCAATTAACACAATATAAGTCAAATAAATAAGTTTCATCATTTTAGCTTAAAAAATGATAAAAAATAAATATTTAATCAATAGGCTAAAAAATAAATTTCAATCTTCTAGCTTTAAACATGACGATACATCTATATGACCTTGGATCTACCCTTTCAATCCTCTTGTAACCCTTTTTCACATTAAAAAGTAACCTATGTCCTTTCTTAGGATCTAGTCTATCTATGTCTGTTTCAAATTTCAATTTAAATCGGTTCAGTATTTTTTTCCTACCCCCCCTCCCCCTAAGAGTAAAAATTTTACAAACATTGAATGTCATATTTATTGATATTTAAACAACAGCCTAAAAATGAGTCTCAAACTTCTAGTTTTAAAAAATGACGATTCTTCATACAGCGTACCATTGCAATTACAATCCTTTTTTCACATTCAAAAGTACCCTATATTCTTTGTCCGGGTGTAAATCTACCCCAAAAGAACCAATGAAAATAGTTTTATTGTTCTAGTTTCAAAAATTACGAATTTACATAATAACTATCATCCCCTATTTTATTTTACCCTCTTAAGGATAAATTTTATACAAACAATGAATGTCATATTTATTTATATTTAATCAACAGCTTCAAAAATAAGTTTCAAGCTTCTAGCTTCAAAAATGACGATTTTACATAAAAACTTTCATCCCCTATTTTATTTTGCCCCCTTAAGGGTAATTTTTTTACAAACAATGAATGTCATATTTATTTATATTTAATCAACAGCCTCAAAAATAAGTTTCAAGCCTCTAGCTTAAAAATTGACGATTTTACATAAAAACTTGCATCCCTTATTTAATTTTATACCCTTAAGGGTAATTTGTTTACAAACAATGAATGTCATATGTGTTTATATTGAATCAACAGTCTAAACAATAAGTTTCAAGCTTCTAGCTTCAAAAATGACGTGTTTATATAAAAACTTGAATACCCTATTTTATTTTACCCCCTTAATGGTATTTTTTTTACAAACAATGAATGTCATATGTATTTATATTTAATCAACAGTCTCAACAATAAGTTTCAAGCTTCTAGCTTCAAAAATGACGATTCTTCCATACAATCTTTCATCCCCCTTTTAACGCCTTACAACCCTTTTTTCGCATTAAAAAGTAGCCTATGTCCGTTCTCAGGGTCTAGACTATCTGTATATCAAATTTCATTCAATCGGTTCATTCAGTAGTTTTGGTGTGAAAGCGAGACAGACAGACAGAGTTACTTTCGCATTTATAATATTAGTTTTTGTCGCAGCACAAAAATATATTTTTATCGTTTCCGTACATATAGTAATTTTACAGTATTAATCTACAAACCAACATTTTGTTTCTTACAATCAGCTAAATAATTTAAATAGTTTCATAATATATGACACAATGAAAAGGTCATTTATTTTATAAAAAAGGCAGTTAGTTTTTATTTTAGTGAAAAATAAGAAAATTCTATTTTGATACAACAACCGTATATTTATTAATACCTATATTTTATTAATTTTGTGTTAATGCTTTTTAAATAAACACCCACACATTATTTCTGTACAACCTACAAAAATGGGTAAATAATTTAATTTCGAATAGTGCCACACCACAACATTCTTTAAAAAATGTAAATAATAAAATGTGAAGAAATTGTGATTGTTATTAAGTTTTTTTTTTAATAAGTTCGTCAGAACAGAGAAACAACATTTGACATTTATTATTATTTGACATTTGACATTGACTTTAATTTTTGTAATTTATATTGTAAAACTTTAAGTTGGGCTAAACAGGACTTGTATCCAGAGCCGTAAAACAAATTAATAAAAAAAAATCGCCAAATTTGTCTCGCAATCGGCCAATTTCAGGTTTATAGAAAAAACACATACACACGATATACGATTTTATCATAAAAAAGTGTCAAAAACGATATTTTCGCTAAACGTCAACGTCATGTTTCCGGCAAGATCTTTCATTTTACATTATGTTATCTGTGGTTTTGTTCTCTGTGATGGATACCTTATTGGCGCAAACGCACGCGATGTGTTGATTGGTTGTTAGCTAGTGAAATGAAAAGATGGCGAATGGCGCAAACGCACGCGGTGTGTTGAATGGTTGTTAGCTAGTGAAATGAAAAGATGACGAATAAGTATTCAACCGCATAAAGATAACCTTGTATTTCCATTTTGAACCCCTTACAACCCTTTTTACGCATTAAAAAGTAGCCTATGTCCTTCCTCGGTGTCTAGACTATCTGCGTACTAAATTTCATTTAAATCGGTTCAGTAGTTTTGGCGTGAAAGCGAGACAGAAAGACAGACAGACAGAGTTACTTTCGCATTTATAATATTAGTAAGGATTAAAAAAAACCATTAAAAAAGTAAAATAATTAATTTATTATTATAAATTAAAATGAATATAAACACAAATTCTATTTACAAATTTATTGTAATCTATAAAATCTCTTTAATAGTTGGTACCCATCCGGCTCATCCGCGCCCTGGACGAGTTTCGGGAACTGAACTCTGACCATTTTCGGCGATACCAGGAGCGGCTACGCTCGATAAACCCACCTTGCGTGCCATTCTTCGGAATGTACCTGACCAATATATTGCACATCGAAGAGGGTAATCTTGGTAAGTATTAATACATGAGATACATCAAGTATCTACAAGCTGATATGGCACATAATTTTAGGTTATTTTGCTTTAATCTTATAATTCAGTCAATATAAAATTAAAAATCATTTATCAAAAAACCTTGAGATTGAGTTTTTTTGTATTTTTCCTACCTGTTTAGTATCAGATTTAATTGAGAAGGACCGGTAAGAAACTCAACTGAATTTCTTTTTTAAGCCAGTTTATTTACATGTTTATATATGTGCTATATCTAACATTAAATGAAAATATTAGATATATAGAAGAGTATTGAGGGTTATTTAAGGGTATAAAAACTGTCCTACCCTTTTAAGTTGGTCTTAATTTACGCAGTGATTAATTTCATAAAAGTTAAATCGTTTCTGTTTTTATTCTGGACAAATATTGTGGTCAGATATTTTTTATATAGATCTACAAATCAAAAACTTTTATCTCCTCACTTTTACATTTATGTTATTCTGAACGATGAATGAACGATGAAGAAATTTAAATATTTTATAAATTTTCAGATTACTTACCCAATTCTGAGTTGATCAACTTCTCCAAACGTCGGAAAGTTGCGGAGATTACCGGCGAGATTCAGCAATATCAAAATCAACCGTACTGTCTCACAGTCGAGTCTAAGACAAGGGTATGATAATTTTATGTAATTTTTGAAGAAGTATCTATATATTTTTAATTGACATCTGTCAATCGTGATTTTCACTAATATAAATTCAAACTCCTTTTTGAAATTTTGAAAGTGTTCTGATACAAACACAACACGAGAATTTTAAGAATTTGTCAATTTTTTTTAAAGTTATACAATGACGTTTATTGTTACTACTACTATTTAAATAATTCTTACTTCGTAATTCGCCTATATATACTAAAACCTAGAAACTGTTGTCCCTTGTCACAGGCATTTCTGGAATCGCTCGATCCGTTTCCGGGCATGGATGATAATGAGATCACAAATTATCTTTATGCAAAGAGTCTGGAAATCGAGCCCCGGCAGCCAGTCAAACAGATGCCCAAGTTTGTGAGTATTTGGTTATAGTATTTATTTATGTATTTATTTATTAGAAAACTAATTAAATATAGTATTTATTTATGTATTTATTTATTTATTTATTAGAAAACTAGCATTTTACAATCCAATATATGAGTCAAAAGTACATTTCTAAAGAAAGCCAGTAACAGATTTTCATTGCAAAAGTAAAAAAACAAAATGTGGCAGATAGATTATAGGTAAATTTAGAAGTACAAATGAAATAAAAATATTTATAGCTAAACTAATTTTTGTTTGGCTTAAGAAATAATCTTCACCATTGTCTCAATAGCATGTAATTTTGTTTATTTATACATTTAGTGAGCACTACAGGTTGTAAACCTTTACACCCACCAATGGCAAATAACAATACTATAATAATTAATATTGGGGATTCCGCATAATTTGTTTGCTGCGAAAGTCCGTTACAGGGCATTAGCATAAATTATATTTTGTATATATAATTGTATAGGTGTGACCATCCATTACTTTTGCAGAATTGATATATAGGCACGTTATTTATTGCGTCATTTCGATATATATATCGAATTTCCTCGGACAGGTACTGTCCGAGGGAATTTGACATAATTTCGTCTATACATATAAATAATACCACACACACATCACGTCGTCATTTGACTATTTGACATTTCTAAGGACTAAGGTGTCATGCCTTACCATGTAATTTCACTGTCACATATCACCCTTTATACAGAACCAGTTTACAGAACAACCTGCTTTGCGGCAGTATCAAAAGGAGTACTCGCATAGATGATTGTTCAAAGGTCATCTTAGGTTTTAATATATATTTTTATCAACAGCCCCGAAAGTATCCTGATCTGTCCTTGAAGCAAGTGAAGGTCTCCCGCAGAGCGCATCATGATTCTGGTGCCGCTCCCTCCGTGGATGATAATATCAGTATGCACCTTTTCATTTTTTGCAGTCCTTATGTGGTCTACATATGTGTATTTAGATTAATGTTAACATGTATTTTTATATCATTATAAACTAGGTGACCCGCTTAATTTCGTCTGTATCACACTTATGATTTCGCCCATTTACATATGTTATTATGATGAACTTGTCAAATTTCATTAAAATCTGTTCAGTAATTATTGCGTGAAACAGCCATCCATCCATCCATACTCACAACCTTTCGAGTTATTAATATTAGTAAGAAGAGACCAGTATAATAGTAGTAATAAACCAGGACAATTCACACAGTGCTATCTAGTCCCAAACTAAGCAGACTTTGTACTTAAGTACACAATAACTGATACAATTATTTATATGTTTTTTATAAATACATACCTAATATACGTAGAAATCGCCCAGACACACATAGTCATGTTTGTATTGTTCGTAGAATCGAACTCGCGACCATCGAACTCAACCACCAAGAGAGATTCATTTCACAAAATTATACAACCCCTCGCATACACATCATATTATAAGTAGTCACATATCACAATGGTATGGCAAACTAACGCGAATTATTTTAAAAGTGAACTTATACATCAGGCGGTTTGGATGTGAGAGCAATGTTTTATATTTTTAGAAAAGTTTATTAGGAACGATTAGATGTATCTTTTTATAATACTCCTTTATTTATAATGACTGCATGTATGTGTCCAGGTGTGTCCCAGTTGTCACCGACTGGTGGCTCGTGGGAGAGCGGAAGCATGTCAGGTGTTGCGTCCGCCCCCACGGCCTCCTCAGGTCCCATTTCATCTTCTGGAGGGTCTTCACTGCAACTACACCATAATGACGACCACAGAAGTGAGCACCTGTATATTGCTTTTGAGTTATTTTCCAGCTTTATGAATTTAGTTAATTTTCGATTCGACTCTGTTCCTTCTCCCGCCACACCGTTATGTTTCAGGAACTACAAATGCAATCGCTTTGAATTTGGAAATGATTAAAAAAGATATTATTAAGAAATGTGTATCTAATTTTGATAAATCTTTCATAAATGGTTGGTTATGCAGCCCAATTTTATAATTACATGAGACCTGAATCATGTTCTAGTATACTAGAGTAGCAGTACTAGAGTCTTTGTTTTTAAGTGTACCTGTACAAGTATTAGAATATAATATACTAGAAATAATCTTAATAGACTTAAAATAAGTATTTTTGAATAGTATTATTTTTTTTATTCTACAACTCATTCGGAACGTAGACTCATTTCAAGAAGAATGAGTATGAAACTTGCGTGTTGCTTGTTTAAATAAATTTAGTTCTAAGTAAATATACATTAACAAGAAAGCCGACATGACAATCAACATTGAAACCGCTACACATTGAATCTTTGTACAATCAGATATTTGTTTGGGACCTTCTGTAAGCGAGTCTTGCACTTTACTAATTATAATATATACATAATTTAAATGTGTCCCTCTGTGTGTGTAGGTAGCCGCAGTAGTCAAGAGGGCGTGGTGAGCCCGCGACCTGAGCGCGCATTCTCGCAGTTGCCACCGCTGAGTCTACTCGACAAGGGACTCGCGCTATTCGATTCGCGCAAGCAGACATCTTCCTCACACAACAAGTAAATTCTTATCACAAATGTATGACAGTATTAAATAGATATAGATGTAAGCAATGTTTCCAGTCTATATAGGTTCTTAATTCCTTAAGAGTATGTACTTTGGCAGGGATATATGTTTGTTAGGAGAATACAATATTTTACGGGACTAAACTGAATGTTTCACTGTATTGTTAAACAATTCTTAAAGACAATATTCGCGAAAGACCAAATATAGTAATTTGATTAATTATTTAGTATATGTTAAATTTATTTGCCTATCCTGTATACAGTAAAATAGAGTTTATAGTGATTTAGTTATGAACTTATTAATTCTTAAGGATTTGCAATACGGGGATGAAATTCATAACTGACATGTTTTATCTATTTCGGTTAAGGTAATATGATGGTCATCGAAGTAGTATAAAAAGTAAAGTAGGTATAGTAGTTTATTATATATTATATATAATGGCTGTTATTGAAATGACTTTATTGAATAACAGGAGTTCGAGTCGGGACGAGCCTCCCTCACCGCGGGATCGTCATTCCCCACGCCATGACAGGTGCGTTGTATTTTGCTTCTCAAATAATGTATAACGGAATTATTATAATGTGGCTAACGGTGTGAGTCCCCACCAGTAAACACTTACCAAGCTGTGCCGTTATTCTGTTTGATTGTCCAGTTATTTATAAAAAAATAGGATTAGACGTGTAACATTTTAGTTACACGTATTTGTAAATTACTCAGCCGCGGTTGGCATACCATCTTAGTGCGGCTATGTCGGTATACAGACATTAGATAGTTGTGTAACTATAGCATCAACGTAATGAAATAATTATGAGGTCACGCACGTATACATGATTAATAATTATAAGCATATACAGCATTATAAATAAAATTTGAAAACGGACTTTAATTCTTTAAGTTTAAAGGCGATATCGCATTAAACGCATGCTGCGTGAGATATAGAACTGTACATGAGGGGTATGTGTGCAGACAAAGCTCGGGCGGCGGGGCGGGGCCTATGGGCCCGGCGGGCGCGGCGGGTGCGGCGGGTGCGGCGGGGGCGGCGGGGGCGGCGGGCGCGGCGGGGGCGGCGGGGGCGGCGGAGGGCGCGGGCCGCAAGCCGGCGGCGCTGTCCCCGCGCGGGGCCATCGTCGACGCCGAGCTGTTCTACTCGCGCAGCGCCGACCACCTCGCGGGACGCAGGCTCGAACAGGTCACTATTCATTAACGCTTTACGAGTATTGAGGCTAAAGGTACCTCCGTCAGTATATGTTAATTTATCCAGAATTTAACGCCTGCGATTTAGTAAATGGCTATAAAGGAATACTTCTTATTCGTAGCAGTTGTGTACTTTTTTTTCCATTGTCGTCGTCACTAAATTATTCATATTATCTGTGCCTTATATAAAACGGCTTCCTTCATAGAATGTTCTTTTAAGAAGAAATATTATTGTAAAAGAGAGGAATATACGTTCATTTTAAAGTCTTCTTTAATAGTTTCGACAACTATATAGAATGTAGTAATAGATGTGTAAATAAAGAGTTTTGGAATTTTGAAAGTGCGATGTTTGCGTGCAGGAGCTGGTGCCGCCGCTGTTGCCGCGCGGGGCGGGCGCGTCCGCGGGGGGTGCGGCGGGCGCGGGCGGGGCGGGGGGCGCGGGCCCGGCGGCCCCTCCCCCGCGGGCCGACCCCGACCGACCACCCCTACTTCCGCCGCGGCCGTGTTCCCCGCACTGTACGTACACCTGTACCTATACAGCTACATATTATATGCATATTCAGTAGGTCTCGGCTACTATCTGTTTTGCATTCCCCTAAGTGATAACGGTTGTCTACCTCTAACATTTATTTTTATTTGTTGAAAAAAAATATTTTTATTCTAATGTGGCATTAAAAAATACATACAACTCTAAATTTTCACCCTTCTATCACCAACATATTTTTTAATAGCAATTTTCATTTATATGTCAAAACAACATTTGTAGGGTAAGCTAGTTGATTTATATGTACCAACCTGTAGTGTTTCAGTTTCACACAAAAATTGGTTTCATTCTATTAAGGCGGACTTCAGACAATATGTTTAACATTAAGTTCGTTTATAAAATGAGTGATTGCTTATAAATATGTCGTGCTGAATAAAAATTTCTAATACCGGTTCGTGCAATTTGTGCGTAACCGATTTTAATTGATTTAATTAATGTACGAATTAATTCTGGAATGGTGGAAATATTAGAAGGCTTATGCACAAGTGATAATAAGAACTGTAAAACATTATTCTTCGTGAAATGAGCAGAGGACTGATGTCTATAATCACATATAATATGACATCATTGTATCAATATTATATCAGTGCATGTAATGCTTTGTTCCAGTAATATCGTCCAGTTGTGAATTGCCTCCCGAGCCGCCCGATCGACCCTTACCGAGCCCCAAACATCACGACCTTTTCAGGTAATATTCACAAATAGTCTAATATGCACCCTTGTAATACATTATATTTTCTATTTAGAAAGTCTTAACACGTTGAGGACCGCATTGAATAATCTTATTTCTCACATAGGGACCGGATTTTTTTATTGTTAACTACCTGTTCCCGCGGTTTCGTCCGCGTGGAAATTAACTTTATATTTCTAAAATATAAGCTTTTTCTAAAATAAAAGTAGTCTAAGTTACTCCTTATGTAATATGTAAAAAATCTTTTTTTGGTATATACACACATAACTTAGACTACCGTATCTATATTTATATGCATGTAATAAAAAAAGGTTATTTCAATATTACAAATAGACATCCAATTTTATTTAGATGTATAGATTACGTATACTATTATTTAAATATGTTTTTAGTGTACAATAATTTGAGGTAGACATACAGTTATTTAACCCATAGATTTAATTCAATTAAAGTGCCCACGGTAAATTTACTTGCCCAACCAACGTGTAAATTTACTTTCATTGCGGAGTGACCCACCGGTGGGCATTTGGTCTTTTTTATCTTAATTGCTTAGTGCCCAAAGTGTAAGCTTCGCTTATCTTGCGACTAGATGGCGCTGTGTAAATTGTCCAGAATATTATTATTATTATATCATACCCAGGTAGACTTCTCGAAAGTCGTTTGCATGAGTATCTCTAGGGTCTTGATCACGGTCGGATAATGTTATGTCCGTACTGTTCATGTATTCAGCGCGGCGGTTACCATTTACTTTGGTATTCCAGCTAAAAAACATTTTAACGCTGTAATTTATGAGAATTAAACTTCCATTATCTTTATTATTGTTATAATATAAGTCTCTCATGTTATGTTTTGAGAAAAGAAAATTGGTATTTGTTGTCATGATTTAATTTTTTTTATTAGTTCCACAAAGTCAGGTGCATCAGCTAGTATTCTGAGTATTCCTTGGAAAAATTGAGGTCAAAATTTTAAACTAATAGTAGTGTTTATATATTAATTAAATAGTATTTTAATATTTATTTATCAGTCTTGTAACATGACACTGGTCGGTTATCGTGTAATACAATACACAGTAAACAGACACCGTTTCTGGCTTTCCCAATACAAATACGTCAGTTTGTCAGTAGGTATTTTATTAAGAGTAGTAATTGTATTGATTAATAATGATATAAGATATATAATAATATGAAATGAGAAATCGTCGTGTCATAATAAATAACCAGATATTTCTTTATCATTAAAAATTTCTTTGTTATGTGTGAACTTTATTTGTATTAATATTGAATGTAACGATGTTGTAATTAGAAGTAGCCAATGTTTGCTTAACCATACAGTCTTCTTTTTTACTATCTTATTAACGCTGAAGTTTGTTGTTGGATATAAGGATGTTTGTTACACTTTCACGTATTGGATTTTAATGGAACTTTACAATAATATACCTGATACATCAGAATAGGCTATAAATTTCACGCGGCTGAAACCGCGGGTACGGCTTGTATTGTTAATAATCCATAATCAAATAGCGAATCTCGCTATTTAGTATTAGTTATTTACGTTAATATTTTACCGAATAGTGCAGAATTTTTTTGTTAAAACAATTATTTTTGATGTCGACATAGTTTTTTTAACTTATATATGATTAATTATTTTATGACTAGTATTTTGAAAATAACTTATTTGCATGTGTTGTTATAGAATGCCAGCGATGTCTCCAAAGCGATCGCCGGCTCCGCAGCCCCCCGTCAGCCCCATCGTACCGGCGGACAGGTATTTACTCTTATGGAAGTTCACAATAAATATTTCAACATATTTTGTTTCCTACCTACTTTTTATAGTTGTTAAAAAGTAGGTATATAACGAAAAATGCTGTTATCTATGTATGTATTAATACGAGATGCAAAAAAATTGTCTCCCATTTTACAAAAATTGGAGGATTATGAAATTTCGCTTGTGTTTACACAGTATAAAAGAAAGTCGCCGCCGCACTCTGTTCATATATATCTTTTAAATTACGCAACTGATTTTAATGCAGTTTTCAGCAATAGATGAAGCGATTCAAGAGGAAGGTTTATATGTATATATAATACATGCTTGTTCAATATAGAACAAGCCAAGACATTCAAAGATTTGTAAGGCACAAGGAGTGCAGAATGCTAATATGCATTTAAATCAATGAAAAAAAAAACATTACACACAGAACTATGTATTTGACTTACATATGCATATATACTCTTTTGTTTATTGGTATAATCTGTCTGTCTGTGGTCAAATTGAGAATAGACTAATATTGTTTGTCTTTAACATTATTTGTCTATAGTGTTACTAAATGTTAAATTAATTGTGCTATAAATTCGACTAGTGGCCGACCACTAGTTACAGTCCAGCCGCTCAGAATTTGCATTTCTGACAGGTCGGGATCGAATGGGCGATGTGATTTTGAACTTACTTGCAATTTACGGCAAAATTTTAAAAATCTTCTTTGCCTTGACGATGATAACAACATTAAAACATTATTAATTATTCCACATTACAATAAACGTAAGTTTGGGCTAAAATGATTAACCACTTAACAAATGTAAAAATAACTGGTTTTAAAAGTCAAACCACATCAAACTGCGCCATTTCAAGGTATGGTCATATCACTATAATAACAAATAGTTGATTGGTCGATTCCGAACTGAAATGAACGCAAAATTTGAATGGTCGGACTGTAATATGGAATGTGTACAATGTGTTGAGTTTGTTCGCAGAACGCTGGCGTTCAGTTTCCCGTCGCGGGCCGCGCCCACCCCCTCCCCGCCCGCGCCGCCCCTCACGCCGCACCACCGTACGTACACACCCTGTTAATATGAACACGATACCATCACATTTCTTTGAAAGCTGCTGTATTAGTAATTTTTCTTATTGCAGCAATATCATGCGGTACTCCCCCGCCTCTGCCACCGCGACGACGACGCGACTCGGCCGCCCCGCCTACGCCCGTGCATTTAGTAAGTTAATAGCATAAGTATAATACATAAGAAGTTTCAGGTGGTTTTTTTGGATGGTAATGGTAAAGGAATGGTGCACTCGCCTTCGCTAACGGTATATGTTGGTGGAGCATCGATGGGTACTTAATTTTCCTAACGAATACGGACATATGAACACAACATTATTCTTACTAAAATATACAACTCACTCGTGTACCGGTCGAGGGTTCGCTAAAGAATAGCAATAGTCTGAATGTGAAGCACTGTATTACACTATTAATTTTAGTCGTCAACGGCGAATACAAGTGGCGGTGCGGGCGTGTCCCCGTGCGGGAGCTCGGGCGCGGCGCCGGGCAGCGGGGGCGGCGCGGGGGGCGCGGGGGCAGCCGGGGCCGGGGCCGGGGCGCCGCCCCCGCTGCCCCCGCGCCCGCCGCCCGCGCCCGAGCTGCTGCGTCCCGCGCACTCCACCATCCTCCAGCGGCGGCATCACAACAACACGTAAGTAACCTTTGATCCTGTTTTCAAAAGGCCATTTACCTTGTTAATAAGGTGGAAGCATGAATCATCGAGAAGTTTTAAACTGAATTATCTTAATACTTTATATATTGCTAACACAGAGGTATACGAGAAATGTTATAAAAACTTATTTCTATTTACCTACTCCGTTTAGGACTTGCTTCGAAAATAGATTGATAAATAGCGCGTTTATCATTAAAAGTGATCGACCAATATGATGCCACTGTGTTTTAATATTTACTCATTTTATTGTTTCTCTAGGAACACTTTCTTTATGTAAAATAGAACTGTGAGCATACAATTCGATATAGATGTATTGGTGTATACGTATACAGGAACATAGCGCCCCGGCTGCCTCCCAAGCCGCCGGCCGCGTGCGTGGCGCCGCGCACCTAGCGGCGGGCGGCGGGTGTGGGGGGCGCGGGGGGCGCGGGGGGCGGCGCGGGCCCCGGGGGTCCCGGGCGGGGCCCTCGGCCGGACCCCCCGCGCTGCACGCTGCGCGCCTCGCGGGTCTCCTCCCACACCGTCGACATACACTACACCTGCGACCGCCTCTAGTGCCTACACCACCTCCTGCCTGAGTGCGCGCTGACGCTCTACCGACTCGCCGATTTGGTCTGTTGCAGGGGGTCGTTGTGTCTACAGTGCTTTGCCCGATATTATTGCGGTTAGACGAATTGTATTACAAAATTATGTATATTGTATTTGAAAAAAAAATAATCATCGAAACTGTTCAGAATAGGCGACTTGGATGATTACTTTTTGTATTTGGTCTGCACTGTAGGCTTAACAATAACCTAGCCTGCGCGTCTGTGACTGCTTACCGCTTGATCCGCACGATACTGACGTAACACGCACTCATATATTATATGCGTATATTTCATTCTAAATCCCGTTTAAGTTGTTCACATACATTTCCAATAGATCACACAGATTCAGATAATGTTTAGGCTATGGCACAAAATGTATGGTGAGTGTGATTATGTGAATACTGAATTGGCGTATATTTCGATGATATTGAGATATACAGCATTGCATTTTCGCGTATATTTGATATTTGGTGTTCTATTAACATTAATTAAATAAAAGTATTTGTACTCATTTGAAATTAATCCACGAGGAGATAATTTAATTTTGCAGTATTTATATATACATATAATATAAGAAGTGTGTTCTATGAATGTCGTGTGGATCAATCACAAAGTGCCGTACCTCTCGGGTGACGAGTGACGTGATTGTTGTACATTTCGCGTGTGACTATTCCAAAAACCCGTGTTAGTTTTATGCACAGTGGTTTTATTACGTGTGAATTTAGTGGGTGATGCACCATAATGAGTACGACACGAAATCTTGTACACTTGGGTACATACTACTTTATATATTATTGTCAGTGTGTACAAGTTTTTACGTGACGTTGTAACGCTGTGAATTTTTTTACTACTCATGAATGGTACGCTGCTGCGATGCCGACTGCCTAAAGCATTTGTGATTACCTCCGTACAAATTCAACACTGCGAAACATGAACAGCAGTAATATCTAAGTGAAGTCAATATTGTTGAAACCTATTTACAAGTGTTGAAGATTAATTAGTTGTAACCTAAAATACTGTAATGACATTTTATGATTGTTTTTTTTATCGCATTTGAAACATATACACATTAGATATAGCGGTCCTTTATACATTATTGACTGGTATAAATTAGATTCCACTTACAACATACATGTAGATATATCGAATACAGACCCTAATGTTTTGTATATACTATCACAAGTAATAAAATTGAATATATATACCTTTGTTTGTGAAAGAGATAATGCCACCAACAATGTCCATAACATTGTGTTACAACACTCGACTCGATAAAGTAGTAGTAATGAAAAACAGGTCTCGAAATTGTCAGTTATCGGTATTACCTCACAAAAAGTTCCACCTTCGAATGATATTTCCGATTTCATATAGAAACCTGTGCAGTGCCAATAATATTAGAAATATAATAATATATTAAATAAATGTAAAATAATGATGTTAGCTGCAATAAATTGAATTTAATTATTATATTATTAAATGAAATTGGTGTAAGGTGTTGTTATATCCGTTGAATCAAACCTGTTACGATTTGTAATTTGTTTGGAGTACAATTTTGTTGAATTGTTGTTAAATGATTTTTTCTACCCACAAAAATGGCAACATTGCAATTTATCATATGTATTAAACTGTTATATATTTTTTCTTAATATTTTAATTGACTTTGCTTCAGTGTTCTTAGTTCTTTTTAGATCTAAACGCACCTCACGAATGTAGTTTTGGTATTATTCACGGTAAAGGCTATGTCGCTGTCGAATTTATTACTGCTGTTGAACCAGTAATATAAAACCGCATATGTATAAACTTGTAGTTCTAAGTGCGATCACTAAAAGTTGCACAATGGGGAATTTATTGTTATAAATATAAATATAGAGCAACTATTTTTATTGTTTATGTTCAAATTATTGAAATATATATATTATATATATAACATTATGTTAATTTATTACATTTAAGCATTTGTACAAGTCGCTAATACTATTATTGGTATCTTTTCAGCAGTGATTCGTAATAAGTAAATGTGGTGAAAATACAAAAATTAAATGTTATTTATTTTGATGAAAAATTTTGGCATATGCCAGAGATGGGGGATTGTAAACGATTCGTTAGAATTGTATTTGAATTATTTAATTTTAATATTTTTATATTTCAATTAAAAATAAAATGAGTAAAGCTAAATGTAACATGGAAACTAATTAACAATAAACAGGATATCTAATAGCAATAAGAGTCATATTCGAATAGTATATGACGCCACATCTACAAGCTGTAATGTGGTTTAGTGTTCATTTATCATATATCATCTACTTGTACAATGACGAATAGGTTTAAATTTAGTTCTGCGATACAGCAGAATAGTAAATTTATATATTAATAGCGCATATGACATTATTGACAGCTTCAGTGGTCTAGTGGTTAAGCGTGCCACTTTATTACCCGATATTACCCAGTCGCAGGTTCAATTCCTCGCACGGTACAAAGATTTGTATTCATGTGTATGATTGTTTGTATCGGTCTGGGTGTTTTCTATGTATAATATGTATTTATTAAAAAAAAAGTATCCATATCAGTTGTCAGTACCCATAACACAAGCTCTGCTTAGCTTGGGACTAGATGGCGTTGGGTGAATTGTCCTATTATTATTATTATTATATATCACCGTCTGAAGCGAAACCATATTGTATTGCCACTTGTATTAAATAACAAGGTCAACTATAGTAGTGTGGTAATAATTCCTAATATATTATTTCAATCCATTCTGGTTGCTATATATTCTGCATTTATTAAATTTAATAGGAAATAAGATATGCGAGGTATATATGTAACTGCCTTTTATTTTTAACTCGTCATTAAAAGGTTTCAGTAACTAAGATGGCGTCATACTACTTAAATGTCAAAGTGATGAGTTATATTTCAATCGATTCTGATTATAAAAATAAATACACTTTTATGATCAGAATAGATTGAAATATGCCATCATAATTTTTACCAACTGTTTGAATACCAGTAGTTCATGTATTGTTGATATTGGGGTTAAATTACAATGTATAAATGTATATTTATAAATAAAGAATGCAATTTGGAATAATTCATTTATATTGGATAGCACATAGGATTATATAATTGTGTTAATAGTCTGTGGCATATACAGGGGCTGTCTGTGTACAAATCACGCTGGTCTTTTCCCTACATAAGTTAGGTCTCATTATAAAGTTATATATTTTATTGATGATTATTATTCGAATCAATTGGTTTCTCATTACGAGTGACATTGTTATTGAAAATTATATTGACATTAAAACATTATAGCTGTATTGTTATTGGAATTGATGAACTCGTATGAACCACTGTTAGATATTATCCGGTACGTTTGTCTATATTTCGTAGATATGTAACAATAGAAATGACTATTGTTTAAACAAAGTAAGTGTGTTATTTTTCTCCAAATGGCACAATAGAAGATTACTATGTTTAGAAATAAATAAGAAAGAATAGAATCAAAATAATATTGATCTAAATGAAATTTTAAGTTACAGTATATACAGTTTTATGGGACAGTATAATTTTATGTATTATAGAAAGGCCTATGGAGAAAGTTATTTAGTTTAAATAAAAGTATGGCTCTTGTGATTGTTAGACTGTTTATTGCATATGGAAAAATTAGGGTACTTGTTAAGGTGGGCAACGTCCATGATTTCCTTTGGAAATTTGTTATATTTTGTTATCATTTTATGATATTTTAATAGTTATTTTAGAATTAACTACAAATTGTATTGTCAACAATAAATCGAGGTTTGCAATGGATACGAGTCGAACTTAAATCTAAAGCCGGCATAGATGGTATGGCATTTTAGCAATGCAAACACGATAATTATTCATAGCAGATATAAGTCTATCATACCATTAACATTTTTTTAATACATTCAGGATTCATTTATCTTTCCTCTTAAGAATAAACAAATAACGTCCAATGAAATATAAAATAACAAAATTACAATAAAATATGTCATCAAGTTTTTACCCCAAAAACAGCAAGATTATATCTTCTGTTTTGTGACATTCTGCATATAACAAAACAAAAAGCTATAATAATGAAAAGTCGCAAAGTTAAGGACATTGCTATTCTTATCAAAGAACTGCGTCTTAAGTTACAGATTTAAATTGAGTATAAATTAAAATTGCAGTGGTATACTCTGTTACATTATAGCAATGTATAAGAACACTTCTAACGTGCTCTTGCAGTGTTGCTGCGTTACGGGTTATGTAGACAATCAAGCGGCTTGAACGAAGCACGTTTCGCTACACATTTCCACTTTTTTTTCAACAGAAATTTAATTATTCCATTTTATATTACAAGCGACAAAATATACATGCCACATTTAGGCCGCTTTATAGTTTATGAAGCTCGCTCGTAGCGTATTATATAGATAACACATGTGTAACCTAAGTTTTAATATTACATCATATACGATAGATAACTTGTTTGATATATAAAACTCTTGATGCCGTTTAATCAACGTATGCCTGAAGAAATATTTAGAATACTTTATGACTCATACACATACATTATTGGTGTTAAATGTAATAATAATTGTGTTTGGCAAATATATAATTATAAATTATAGAATCAATTGCACTACTGCTATGTATTTCCTGTGTACAATATATATATATTATAATGTTTTTAATGAGTTTTATATAATAAACAAGATATATAAATTATAATATACATATTGTAAATTGAAACTGATTGTACATATAAATACGTACAGCTTGACTTAAATCTGACAATTAGCTTACAATTTGTGATCTCGAGTAGTTTCATAATATATATATTAACGCTCTCAGTTCTAAGACAAGCTGTGCGGTGCCATTTGTTATTGGGTTTCTATGGTATGGTATGTCTCAGATACAGCATTGATAATTCCATTTTCATAATATCAGTATAACTATAATTACTATACTATCACTATTAAGCTTATCAAACATTTTAGCAATTAAACAACTATTTAGGGCTGAAAAGGATGGCAAGTGTCTGATATTCCAATTCTCCTATCCACAAAATTTTAATGAACTTGCATGCATGGACATGTAAAGCATCGTAAAACTATTTGGATCGCAGCTTTTGTTTGTAATAAAAAAACTATAACTTGATGTCTATGTTAGATATTGCATACGCATGCATACCTTTTTTAACTTATTGGTTATTTACTGAATGAAAATAAGTTAAACGAATGACTAAAGAATAATATGAAATGAAAAGGCAAAGGACGTAACAGCATACAGGCGATAAATATAGTATATTAAAAATATTATTCAATGTTGTCTGAGAATTAACATATTTATAGAAAACCGTTGCCTATGGTTATAGAGCTAAGAAAAGACCACCTGTATAAATTTAATGTAAATATTGAATTAAGAATAGTAATATAGATATTCATATATATAAAGTTACGGTGTAGTTTCATTTTATAATTATAATAGTAATCTTTGGTTTAAAGTGACCAGCGGCAACGATTTCACGATGGTGCAGTTATTACAGGATTACTAAGTCTTTTTGAGACTAAAAGATTTTTAAAGTAAAGTATAGCAAATATTATTCAATCCTTTTACTATAGTTGAACAAATTTTAAAAATGGATTAAATAAATTTGTTCACTGCAATTAATAATCAAATCTTTCCTGTTTATTATTATTTTAAATATAAATAAATCAAACTCAACCTAAACCTACATTGGGGACCAGATATTTATTTATTTATTATTGTAAATTACCATTAGGTACCTATTTTGAGATAGTTTCAGTGAATATATTGTAAAAATATGAATTAATAAAATAATATTTCCATTTTGCTTTGTATGAGTATGACATGTCGATGGGTAACATGAAATGAAATAGATTTGTGCGTCTTTCTAAAATTACTTTTTTTCAGAGAGATGTATCTTTCATATAGATTGCTTTCACTAGCCAAACTAGGTGGCCAGTTTTGGAAATTATTTTTTTTGTAATAATGTAAATAATTAGTTTGTGTTTGTGGTTGTTTTTACCGAACTACTACTGCATGTTATTTTGGCATAAAGTCAAAACTTATTAAATGCATAAATGGAAAATAATGTTATTAAATGCATTTAAACCGTACGCTTCACTACATAAATACATCAATTGTTTTTATTTAAAAATAGCTAATACCACCCATATCGATTATACTTATAAATAAATTTAAATAAGTTATATATACCTATATGTAATAATAATGTTATAAGCATTGGTTGTTCAGGTGTGGAATTTTCAAAATCTTAAATAAGTAAACACTTGATAAATGTTATTTTAAAAGAACAAATAAAAACCAGACCATTAGAGATGTTACAGTATGACCGGCATTCTTGCCGGTCATACTGTAACATCCATTTGTAGATACTGCTTTGAATACATTGTATTCATTCTAATTTAGTATTCCTTGCAGGCAGTAATACGCCAGTAATCATTGCATATGTACTGTCTTCCTTTATGTCAACGGACCTTGGCGTTTGTCTGATCATATCCAGGTCCGCATACTGCACTTCAGATTGATGGGCCGCGTAGTTGCATGCATGCTCGTCATTGTTCATGTACGTGTGATTTAAGCTTACGTAATGTAGATGTGGTGTAGACTAAAAATGTGTAAATTTATTGTACTACGCAAATTGACAGAGAAAACTGACGGCTTTAAGTTGGAAAAGAAAAAAATGGTCACGCCATTATTTTTTCACGCGTCTGACAAGGAATTTGGTAAAAAAAATGGCATATGTTCTAAATACTGGACAATTGGGGTTCCACCTTTCCATTCGGCTGGGTTTTCCCTTTGTCTAATGACACGGGTCAGTGGTAGGGACAGATTCTGCATATAAGTTAAGATATTGGTAGTTTAGATATTACTAGACATTCGTGTTTTGAGACCTGGTGCTCTGTCACATTTTCAGTATATCGGAAACCGAAAGTTTAAAAATAAGTAAACTATAATACCTACTGCCTTTCCTTGGTTCGACATGGGAGCAAAGCAGTTCACAATAGGGTTGCATAAAAATTGAGCGTCAGATCAACCTCCACGCGGCCCTCCTTGAGGTACCTACTATGTACCAGCTTGTTAACAATTTAAAACGACTTACGTATATGTTTTCGTCCGTTGGAGCAGGGCTTTGAGAGTTTCTTCTGCGTCGATTTCTTCTGTGTCGACGTCTCCACCATAGCAAAGATGTTACAAGTGCGATTATAATAACAATCCCAGAGATAATTAACAGTATAGTAGACACATCTGTAAACAGACAATAAGAGTGTACAGTAATGGATAAAATACAAAATTACAAGGGCGACCCGACTGGCTTCCCACAACCTAATTTTTTTTATGAAATTGTAATTGCAGACAATCTGACGAACTATAGACATGAACATCACGCGAATATCACTTTATCATTCGTTGCCATTGTTGAGAATGTTATGCATCCATATCCTATAATTTTACCACCTTATCTCCACCTTTCAACCGAAACACAGCTTTAAAGCGAGGAGATTGTCGGCTGAAATATTGAGACTTAGGTAACCATGTAATCGACTCATTATAGTCTACCTCTGGTGAATTGATAAATAACCAGTCACGGCTGCAAGTAGATATAAAATAAAATAACTGTCATCGTAATTACTAAATTAATTCAATTAATATTCCAGCACCCAATGACGCCAACCACATTGAGTAAGTACCTACCTACTAACTGTAGGTAAGGAGCAGCTTTCATTGCGACAATTGAGCTTTCACGTAGAAATAAAATAAAAGAAGCTACGTACCATTGCTTTCATTGTACTCGTCCATCGTTTTACTGCCATTCAAATGTAACATATAACTTTGTAATATTTCACGAGAACATGTTTTAGTATTAAATGTATCATTATGTGTACAATTAAATTTGATATAATATATTATCGAGTTGTCATCATCATCGATTAAAGTCATGTTAATCATAGTGCAATTGAACATTTGTAATATTTGTGTTATTTTGTTGAATTCTGAAAGATAAATAATATTATAAAACGTGGCTGGTTTATTATTTTATATATATGTACAGCACTTCGTACATCATATTACTATGTTACGTCCTTGATACGCGTTATTCCAGATAATTAAAATGACATGGCTCTTATTCCTGTAATTTCACTTATACTGCGTTATATCACTTTTCACCGAAGCACTGCAATGCTTACAAAGCAAGCTGCTTGGCTGCTGAAATATGCGAGACTTAGGTTTACGTCAGTAATTGGACTTGATTGAAATGAGAAAAAATGGCGGTAGCGCGGAATGTGCTCTTCGCGGTGGTCGATTACGTGAGGTCTTTCGGATGGGTGGCTCGGGGAGGTTTTTGCGCTAGGAGAGTGCGTGTTCGATGTGCGATGTGTCGGGGTTTTTTATACGGCGAGTCCTTCTGTCCGAGAGACTGTTTGGCGTATGCCATGGTAGTGGGGCGTGTTCCGCGCTCTCTTCAGAAACTATTATGTACCTACTATAATCCAAGAACATTTTTTTTACCGTTAAGGTATATACAGAACAAAAAAAAATTGGATTGGCAGGTAAGGTCAGTATTATATCATGTTTTTCGTATTAGTATTATCCCCATTAGGATTTGCCTCATACTTTTACTACCGGCGGCCTTCGTTCATGGGAATGAATCGTACTTAATATAAAGGTAACCAATAATCTGTTACTTACTGTTTACTTTAATTAAATAGTCACCGTTACAATTATATGTAACATTACCGGGGTCGTAATTTATAATATCCGGTTCTTTCAATTTATTATCTGTAAATATAAAGAGTAGTTAGAATGGGTATACGGCATGGATTGGTTGTTTTGTTCCTGAAATGATCGTGATGTTTGTTTACTATAACATACTATAATAGTTTACTACTTTATGCGTTAGACCTGTTTTTTATATAATTCCAATGATATCCATAATCCATAATCTTAATATATAATAATTCAGTGTCACGTCCTTTATCCGCGATGGAACCATACTCGTAAACTACTAAACCGATTTTGATAAAATTGTATATGTCTAAGAATAGTAATAATAATAATAATAATAAACTTTATTCATAAATGCACGGTACAATTAAATATAGTTAGCCCTGGCTTTCGATTTAGGTGAAACCTGTGTCACGAAATCCAGTTCCCTCCAAACATTCTGTAAACATTTTTTGGTACATCTGCAGTTGTGTACATAAAGGAATAAAAAAAAATAAAAAAAAGTTAAATACTTCTGAATACAAAAAAAAAAAATGTATAAAAGAGACGCTGTTCTTTTTGACATACTAGATTGTACTGAACTTTTATTTAACACAGTGTAGTGAGAAAAAAAGATCAAAGTAATAAGTACTTATACAAGAAAAATGAGGAAAACAAAAAAAGAATAAAAATTATAGTGTCCATGTGTTTGATTAGGAGTATGGGTATGTGGGTAAGTGTGTGTGTATATGTATGTGTGTGTGTTATTTATATAGTTTATATAGTCATTCTTTAACTATATACATATGTATGCATTTACCTCAGTTAAATTTTTAATGCATTTTCTAGTCATTTTATAGTATATTTATTTTTATACCCCGAAGTGATAAGAGTGGCCCACCCAAAAAAGAAATCTTTGTTTCTTGACATAATTGACTATTCTATTTTTATTATGATTCGGTATTAGTAAATAATTACAACCCTAAATTTTCACCCTACCATCAACCCCTAATTATTTTTTTAATGGCAAAACCACGTTTGCCGTGTCATTTACCTCTGTACCTTTACACTGCTAAATTATTAAACCAATTTCAATGAATTAAAATCAAATTTGTGCTGTAGAAGAGGCAATTAAAGTGTGTATGAAAACTAAAAGCAAGGTGCTTTACGGTCGATTAGCTAAGACAAGAGTTATCCATGGAGACGAATGATGAATAGAGTGTAGCTCTGTAAAACATGAATGGAACAATATAATTCAGAGTGGAGTCCCTACCATGCCCATAATTGAATCACGACGCGAAACATCAATGGCGGAATATCTTCACAGTCGAAGTCTAGTTAATGTTATAAAATCCTATGAATTTACTTAATTTTTTTTAAATACAACTTTAAATATCGACATTAATTAACGGTTAATTTTAATTTCCATTACCATTTTAATGACTAGTCCTGAACGGTGACAGTTCAGTTGACAGTGCTAGTCAAATGTTTCCTTAACTGTTTCTGATATTTTACAAGCGAACTTCATTCATCCGTATCGTTTTTAATACATACCTTCGGTTGTCGGATCTATGACGAGTATGTTTTCAATTTTGTTTGTCGAGTCATTATGTTCCTTTGTAATGTACACACAACTCATAGTCGTATCGGCATCAAAAGGGTACACCTTCGTTGTAAGTAAAATATTCTCCTCATTCTTATATGCTTCAATTTTAAACAAATCTGAAACATTTGTAGGCTGTAAGTACTTACTCTAATGTTTTCAATGAAAATGGCAAGTAAGCATATTTTTTCAAATATTTATTTGAATGCATCTACAGAATATCTGTAGATGCATATATCGAATATTACCTAAATATGAATTAAAAATTTAGTTATTACAATAGCTATTTATTTAGCTTGTGAAGATTAAAAAAATGCTGAAACATAATCTCTTATAGAGACATATAGAGCTGTATCAATTAGGTTGAACCGATGACACTTTGTGATATCCAGCTTATGTAAGACGATCTCACACGCCGCGATCAACTTGATGAATGAGGATGGTTCAGAGGGTTCTTTGGCTTATATTAGCAAAATTTGGATTTTATGAAATTCAGCTAGGTTGCAACCGCCGTTCGCATCCAATCGAGAGACAATACTTCTGACCAGTTATGTTATGGATATGAAATTTTGGATACGAATAGGTTTCGGATATTCATTCATTCATAATTTAAGAGCTGTGCTCTTGTCGGTGGAGCTCCCGCCACCTTCCACGATCTTCTATCAGTCCCTTTAGCTGTTGATACGACACGACTCTAGCTTTTTCTTTAACTTGCTTCGGATATAGGAAAGATTATTATACCGGATACTGATACTGATGCGGATATGAAATTATTTCGGATTATCCGTTAGTTTCGGATAATTTCGGTTACGGATATTAATTTCTTAAGGAATTTCAAAAGTAAAATACAAATAGCTAATAAAATGGTTACATGACGGGTTTCTATTAGGCTCCGCCCCTATCCGATATTATCCGAAACTTTTATTTCGGATTCGGGTTCGGTTACGAATATTTTTTTATATCGGATATCCGATAGTTTCGGTTACGGTTACGCTTCCTAACTAATCACTGCTTCTGACCACGAAAGTTGTCACGTGATCAGCCGATTGCTGTTACGATTGGCAAGTCAAAAAGCTGGTTAGTGATTGGACATTTCAATTCATTTAGACTGCGTGTGCGAATCGAATAAATAAATTCATAAAAATGATGACGAAACAATAGCAGTCCGGCGTAATTCGCGAGTGGGTCGTGTATAAGTAGGGGGTTCGCGCTGCGCTTTGAGTCAGTATAGACTAAATAAATTCATTTTACGCATATTTTTAATTTTTTACAATATATTTTGTATATATGCCTTACAAAGCATTTTTTCAAACTGCGAAATTGTTTAACGGTGTGCTAGTGTCTTGCAAAAGAAAGTATGTAAAATCAAGAAAACCGTTAAAGTATAACGAGTTACAAATTCCAATGCTGTGCAATTACAAAGCAGTGAGTCACCGATCTGTGTTGTCTCTAAATAGCATTGCAAGTTTATATGCAAGTCATTAATAATTATTTATGAATAGTGGATAACTTGTATTACACTTGAAGAGACAATTCGACTATTGGGGCATTGTTAGGATTCCTTGCATTGGTTTTTAACGGCCGGGCTTCAAAGATCAGCAATTGATTTTTTTTAACTACCTGCTTGCTCCAGCCGAATTATTTTGATTTTGCAATTTGCTTTGAACACGCATATCTATCGGATGTCTCAGTGAATAATAGTTAGTAATATTATAATTGCCACCAAGAAGTACTTATGTTGTAGCGCCTGTGATAAAAAATAATCTAATTTGCAGCAGCGATTCTATAACAATATGATGACTTCAGAACACAACACAGGGCTCATTGGAAGTGTGCGTGGAAGCAATCAGCCGAAACTTGATAATTATAATACCACGGTGCGTGCTTGTTTCTGTGTGTGTTACAATACAACCTACAACACATGGGACGTGTAGTGGTGTTTCCTCTTCGGCATGGCAAAATCTGCAGATTTTTGTTGTGCATAGACCGAGATTTGCCAATTAGAGAAATAAAAAAATTCGGTGTTAATCATTATAGAAAGACAATACCTGTGGAAATAGAGATCACAAATTAGCAAGCCCGATAACACATAATTTTTACATTGTGTGTTTAAAATATTATATTTGATCTTTTGGTCTAAAGTTAACACAAAACCTATGATTCAGCATTTTTTTCAAAAGCGTTTATGGAGTTTAATTTGAGGCTAAAATTATTACGTATTCCGTCGTTTGATAATTGCGACCAAAACATAGTTAATAATGTGTTGTTGCTTCGCCCTACAAAACTGCAATTTGTCTCCAAGTAGTCACCCACGGCTTTGGTCATCTTAGATTCCTGAGTTACTGTAATTAAAGGTTTAAACACTCAGTAAAGTCGACGAAGTTCAAAACTATCAAAATATTTGGCAGGACGATTTTGTTATTACAGAATCCATTGAAATAGCTAATATATGCAATGAGCTTTTTTACAGCTTTTTTTCTGAGAAAATGCCAATTCTATTTCTTCTTTCCATCCTAACTAAGGTATGATATATTGTTGTGGGGTAATTCCACTTTTGAAAACAATTAATTGCAGAAAAAAAGCTGTACCTAAACGTGTAATCTGTGGAATACAGCTCAGAGTGTCTTGTAGGTAGTATTACCGGAGCAATAAGATTCTCATAGTGATTTCTCAGTATATAAAGGAGATCATGAATTCTTTAAAAAAAAAAACACATTCGTTTCAAAAGTTTACAGCATTCTCCAGATTTGATAGTCGATACTAAATTAATAACTAATTTAGTTAACATGTAAAACTTTTCTACATCAACAAAATTGCTATTTAATGACTATAATACCTAATACACTATGCATGCTAAAACAACGGCAAACTGTGTGGACTATTTCGTTAATACTAACATACTTTTATAACTTTTACCATATTTCGATCCAGTAAGTATATTTCGGCCTTGGTGTTCTAGCGGTTTAGGTCACCGCCTTACTTCCGATGGTAGCGGGTTCGATTTCTCGCACGATATAATAGGTATGTGTAATATATATATAATCACTTATTATCAAAGTAAAAAGAAGTACAAAGGATTTTAATAATATACATAATGCTCTTGAGGATGTTCTTAACTGGTTTACATCAAACAATCTAGCGCTTAATTCAATGAAAACAAAATGTGTTAAATTCTCTTTACCAAATATAAAACAATTAATGAAACAATTGTCAGTTTGAATCACCACGTTTTGGCCTTTCATGATGAGAGTTCTTTTCTTGGTATTGTAATAGATTGCAAATTGCAGTGGGGACTACATATATTTCCGCTGGCTAAAAGACTTAGCTCGGCTGCTTTTGCTATCAGAAAAATTAGACAGTTAATTGATACTGTAACAGCGAAGCTAGTGTATTTTAGTTACTTCCATAGTATAATGTCATATGGTATTATATTATGGGGAAAGGCGGCTGATGTAGATTAAATTTTTATATCACAAAAAAGAGCAAATCGTCAATATATAATTTACCGTGTCGCGATCTCTTAGAGAACGCTTGAAAGAAACAGGTGTCCTTACTGTTCCCTCTTAATATATAAATGAAAATATTATGTATGTACATAAATACTTAAATTTATTTACAAAGAATAGTCATTTACTTTAATACAAGGAATAAAAATAATTTAAATATATCTAGTTTTCGTCTCTAAAAAGTAAGTTAGTACGTCTTTCATGGGTATATTGCCAGATGATTTAAATGAAGGGAAATTTAAGATACATGTAAAAAATACACTTTGCGCTAAAGCTATTGTTTATTACAAAATAAACGACTACTTCAATGACTGCAATGAGTGGACTTAATTACAATTTTAACTTTTGTTATGAGGCATATAACGTTCCCATGAATATAATTATCAATGTATTAAACATCAGATAAACTTATTATAAATTGATTAATGACATGTTATAATTTAAATAATGTAAATCAAATATTGTAATGGCGAAAACTGTGATTGTTACTGCCTATGCTGTAAATACTATAAATGACGTAGTAGATAGAGTAACTTGAAACAGTCATGTTCTCTATAATGTTCCAACTTGTGGCGGCGTGGTGGGTCGGGTCATTGTGCTCCCTCTAATATGGTTGTGTGCAATGATGGCTGGCTCATCGTCATACTGGTGAACGGGTGCTGCTTGTGGGGATTGGTCTGTTTGTGTTACGAACATTAATTAGACTATTTTTTTTTGCTTTTGCAATAGCATATGCTGGTGGTTACTCTATTCTCCCATTTGAATTTAAAAATGAATCTGTAGGTATTATTGTTTTTTGTCAGTTCTTCTCATCTTGAAATCATTCCGAACTGATGGTAGATTTGATATATCATAAGAGTCTGTAATAGACCTACATGAATACAGATATTTGGAATTTGATTAGTTTGTATCAGTTTAAGTGTATTCTACGTATATTAGTATGTGTTTATAGAAAAGTGTATGTGTTTTTGTATATGAATTAGTACAACTTGGGCGCACAAAAAATTTTACCAACATCCCGACAATGACCAAGTTCCTTCCTTATCTAATCAGCCAGATATGCTTGTACCTATTTATAGTCCGGTTCAGCATATGTGCATGTATCAGCCTATAGCAGAACAGGAAAATCCAGTCTGTGAACATCATACAGAACCTGAACCTTTCACCTCTGCACAGCCAACAGACATTGAAGAATCTAAAACTCCAGAAGTATCTGTCGAATCTGAAATCTCAATGGAACAATCTTCTGAAAGGAGATATCCTCTTAGAGACAGACATCCCCCTGATAGATATCATAATAGTATTGATAGTATTAGATCATCCACAAAAAGTTGGTTAGAAGCTATGAAGGCTGAATAATCACGGAACATGGATTTTAGTTGACAGACCAACAGACAGAATGATAACTAAATGCAAATGGGTCTTCAAACTAAAAAAGGATACAAGTAGCCAAATAGTCAAATAT